CCAAGGAGGAGATGGAAGCATTAACGGACACACTAACGACAACAGTCAGTTCGAACAGCTAAGAAATTACATGTTGGTGGATACGGGACTTAAAAATTCAACAGAAATGTAGAGCACTTCGCCGTCGATTAAAATATGAACGACGAAATGAACAACAAACTAACACACTGCAAATATATCAACGAGAATTTTCAATGTATAAAAGACTTATCGTGCAATCAATAATTAACTCATGGAAGGCATTCTGCACAGAAACGAAAGACACCCTTGGACTACACCATAAGATCGCCACCAAACTATTTAAACCTGCACGTTTCCGTTTGCTTCTCTCTCCTGATTCTACAAACCAACATACCGCAGGAACAATTAATGAAATTCTAGACAATGTCTTCTGTCAAGACACGCCGGATGAGGACACAGAACATCATAAATACATAAGAAATAATCTACCTGTATTAGCTACCCCAGAAGATTTGGACTTCACACTATTAAAAGTTAAACAAGTACTCAGGTATCTTCCAGATAAAAAGGCTCCTGGCTCGGATGAGACCATAATAATAGTAATAACAGCTTCACTGCCTTTCTTCATAACTTATTTCAACAAACTATTACACACAAGCACTTTTCTGAGAGCCTTTAAAATTGGACAGGTCGTGCTCTTTTTAAAGAAAAATTGCGACCCTGCCATCCCTACTTCCTACCGACCAATCTGCCTTTTATCTGCGCTAGGTAAAATATTTGAGAAACTCTTGATGAATCGCCTTCGCCACCATATTAGCCAAGGGGACTATTTACATCCAAAACAGTATGGATTTCGTGCGGGCAAATAATAATTGATATGCATTAATTGATTAATTATACGAAGTGCCCTGACACACTTTGGATAATTCACAGGGATAGACAGTAGAAGCACTAATCACAGAACACCATGTGCAAAGCATTGCTTGTGTAAAACCTTTAATAAGCAAGTTAGGAAGATTGTTTCTTCAATCGCCGAGAGATAAAGTTTTGATTGATAAAGTTGTTCTATCTGTAAAGTGAAAATGCTACCGATACAATGAAAGTTTATCCGAGCAATCCCAAACTAAATCAAGTCCCATTTTTCGTAAAAACTGTAGGTGATTTGTTAAAAAAAGCGAAGAAACTCAATAGACATGTAAGAGACTACAATCCAGAGGGCCATGTGCTACTCTTGAAATTGTTATGGAAGTGAATAATATGATTACTGCAGGTGCATTGCATACTGCAAGAAGTGTTGCAAACAGTTTGGATACAGCAAAATCCACAGACTTTAAGGTTCTGCTCTTCTTTTCGATTCCAGCGCGTCGAGATGTTGCAACTTGAACAACCATGTTGACTTTGAGAAATTTTAGTCATCAGACACGATGAAGATGGCAAGTGGACACTGCGGATATTATGAATGGATGAGGCGCATTTCTTCTGGGTGGGAACATAAGCTCCAAATGTGCTCCATTACAAGCATATCTAGTGCTTAATTATAAAAAAATGTTGAAAAATAGCTAATTCCAGAAATGCAGCAGGGAAATGTCGTTAACGACATTGTAATGGGTGCAAGATGGTGCTCTTTCTACACGTCGCCGTGTGTGTTTGGTAAGTACTGCAACAGCACTTTGGAAACAGAGTTATCTCTCGTACTTTACAGTTTCGTGGTCAAACCCCTGTATGGGTTTTTGATTCTGGGGTTATATAAGATGTGCACATGAAATCCACAAGGTTTGACAGAATTAAAAGGCGCCATGAAACGTGAATTCCTCCTGTAATGTTATGTTCGTCATTGTCGTCAATAATCTCCCACATGCAATGCGTTATCGTCTGCGAAGATGGGCACGTTGAAAACTTGTAATATCAAAAAAAGTTCTTCAACTCCCATGTCTTCTGGTGTCATTGGTCCTTAACAATGCTCTTCTTTGCAAATGTTTTAAGCCGACAATTTTCGTGATCCATATATCGTTCCCACGCCATTTATGGTTTTTCAGTTCATTGATCAAATTGCGTAGAAAAAATATGAGTTACCCTTCGAAAGTTTCGAAATGTTTTAACTATAAAGTTACAAATTTATGATAGTTCTGCTGTTATGAATCATCACGATCTTGACTGCATACTTTTAAATAATATCTGAAATTTAATTTCGATTGGTTGAGCGAATAGGCCGCTAGGGATTTATACATCGGGAAAGTTTCTTTATGACCACTTCGAGTTTGGGAAAAGAGGAAGGAATGATCGTCTAGTGATGGTGAAAGGGGTGCTTGGGGCAAAATATGTTGAGAACCACTGGAGCATAGGGTGCACTTGGGCACATGAAGCTGTAACCTCATATATTAAAAATGTGGAATAAATCGACCAAATACTGCTTTTGAATCATTAATTTAATTATTTAATTTTGAAATTTCTGGAAATTTCAATACGTTATCCATTACATTTCTCATATGTTCGAGTTAAAAAATATACTAAACATATAATGATTGGCAAAAATATATCGGAAATTGAATTACACAAATATACGTTACAGTCTTCGACTAAACTTTATGTTGAAGAATTAGAGGATTATTTTCACACGCATTTGCCCGTGCAAGTGCAAAAGATTAAAATCCTATAATGATTAATCAAGGACATAGCGAAAAACTGTAAACAATTCATTTATTGAATTAAAATATATCTAAATTGAATTTAAAAACCACCACTTTGAAGAGCCTATGGACCTGAAGAAGTTGCATGCCATATTTCATGCCCTCCCTTCTCTGGGCTATGCGATACATATTATGTAACTTTCTTTTATTATTCTTATGGAGTGTTTTGCTATGCAGAAGATAGCCCTTGATAACTAAAGTGAATGAAAAATTTCTAATTCATCTTATAACACAATTGTTTACAATAAATAAAAAACTAGAAAGTGAAATTATTTTTTCTAAATGCTCGTACGCACGAAATTACTCCAGTAAGCTGATTTAAAGAATATGTGCATCTTTCGAATGAGCATGTTAAAATGGTTCCATTATGACTATTTTAATAATTTCACCGTAATGTTTAGATTTGTTGTTACACTGAAGATTTGTTAGACCATTTGCAAACTATCGTAAAAATTCTGTCTAACGTTTTGCTGGAGAAATTAATCTTTCTGCTATAGAGGGTCCTGGAAGAAACTGTGATGTTTACGACAGGTACTTTGTACAGTACTTAGTTTAATTAACCCATTACATTATGATTTGAGCTTTACTATCAATTCTACTTTTTGTTAGCTCTCACAAGGAAAAAGTATACGTATGAACAGAAGTCTTGAAACTTAGAGAGCTTCAGCAGTAACGCTGACCGTAAGTACTATTTCCCTTACCCAAGGACGAAAATTAAGTTGCCGGCGTTAGTTTTCCCCTAGGTTACTCGCGCAATTAGTTAAAATTGATCCAACTCTTGTTAAGTTTTTACAGTTGTGAATCTCCAGTATTAAACAACTATTGCATTTTAAGTTCATATGTGTGTTATCATACTTTTTGTAAGTGCAAGACAACATTACAACCATAACATTGTTAAGTTATGGTTGTTTAAACTTTCTTCTGTGTCTACAAGTGCGTTCATAGACGATATCATCTGATTGTCTCAATAGTGATCATGCCAAGTGAATTAAGGAGTGGACTTGAAATTATTTCATATTCGATAATGATGTTAAATTACCTTGTCCAGATTAGGATTACAAAAATTTAAAGCACGCAAATATTTCATCTGTAAATTTAAACTTAGTGATCGCAAATCCAACTCATTTAACTTGCTCAAATTCTTTTTTTTTTTTAAATCTCACTCTTTCACACATTCCAGAAATATCTAAATGGCTTCGAAACGAAAAACGTTTCAAATTCTTGCCAACATGCTGATTATAAACAGAATGTTAGAATTGATCAGTAACGGATAGTAGCTTCTCAAATAAGTTGTCGTCACTTTTCTCAGTCTTTTTTTATCAACCGACTTTAGCCAGAGCTTATTTTCTGACGTTTTACTAGATGTTGTTGTTTCTCATCAGCACGAAATTGTTTTTACTTTTCCTTTTTTTTTGTCTGTGTGCCACCTCTTAAGATTTTTTGTTCGCTTTCTGGCAAAATGATGATGTTACCAATTATAGATCTACTTGATTATGACCAAGTAGAATCTACTTGAATATGATCCGGTATATTTCTTTTGAAGGTTCTACAAACAGCTTTTTGCAAGTTTTTTGCTTCGTTTTATGATATAGAAATTTTGATAATAGCCCCAAACATATGATTTAAGGATCGAGGCTTACTTAGTAGTAGCCATTTTATTCATTGCTCTAAATTAATTTCTGTTATATGTTCTTTTGTTAGTAGATTCTATTAGTAGATTGTTATCTAATTTACTCCTTTTTTGTTTCTAGATTTAAAATTCAGGTTTTGTTTTTGTTTTAAGGTTAGATCCTAGACTATGTGATAATGTTAAGACATTCTGACATCAAATATGGTCATGGTAGCATAACTGAATCAGAACTATCTAATGACGAAGTCAGTTATTTTAAGAAATTGAATACATATGGTGAAAGCAATTAATAATAAAAAATTAAACGAAATTATTCCCCTTGAAGAATTTAATAGCCTTCCTTCATCTGTGGCACGAGTGAGTTGGAAACGCATTATTCTGCTATCGAAATTTCACGTCACGGTTTTAATAAAATGTATGAATGGAAGCTTAAACAACTGTATGTAATGATCATTACATATAGTTGTGGATACAGGTTTTGATTTGAATTTAAAAAAAATTTCAGAATAGTAGATTATTTACTGAAGAATCTATTACGTGACAATGTTAAATATTCCGTATTCTACTATTATATTAGCATAATTAGTTTAATACTTATAAAATGGATAAGATATGAAAATGCGAGTAATGTAATAAAGAATAAAAACAAAATACTTGTTCGCGGGATTTTATTTACAATGCAAGTTTTGCCACAAAACAACAAACAATGATAAAAATGTACATGAAAGAATGCAAATCAAAAGCATAAAATCTAATAAATAAAATTAAAGCATGCTTTCAAAATAAAATTCACAGAATGTGCTACCAACATTTCTTTTAAATGCTTCCAATTCAGTTTGAGTTTCAAGTGTGAAATAAAATTATTGATGTATGCAATAATAATTTTTTTGTAATTAATTTTATAATTATTTCACACATGAAAGAAATGATGCATCTGGAATATCTTTATAAAACTCACGCTTGAAATTTTGGCCACTTAATTTTCCTTTAAATATTTTCTATTTCTATATACCAAAGAAAGAAATAAAAAAAATTCATTTTATAAATTCACAGAATGCTTCTAATGTATTCAGACACAGACAAAGATTTCAAAAAATAAAATGTCGGTAGACATGTAGTTAAATTAAATTAAAACCAAGATACACAATTTAGTTGTAAAACTATAAGGAAAGAATTATAAAATCTGAATGTAGTACGGTTTTATAGCCCATATTTCAAATCACCGTTAGCATGGGAAAGAGTTTAGTTGCTCATATGTACAGCATGAGAATACTCACTACAATGATTCATCACATTATCTACCAATATTTAATAGGTTTACATTCTCAATAACACCTAAAAACTTATGATACTCATAATTATGGTTTATTCAACTTTAAAATGTAAATCACAAAATAATGGATTCATTAAAGAACGTAATCCAGTGTCATTTTATCATCCCATACACAAATTATTGCTGAATCTTCATCAATGATGACTACAGGAACATAAATTTCCTGAGTCATGGAAGCAGTTAAACTTTTGATATGAATACATATTGCACACAGATGAAATGCATGACAAAGATGTTGAAGAAAAATAGGGCGTTTCAAAGTTTTAAGCATAAATGTGTCATTATTCAATATTGTCAGAAAGTATTTGTTACCGAGCTAACGATGAGGTTGTTAGAAATATAATTCAGTCATCGAAAGAGACCGTATATTTTTTACATCTTATTCATTCATTTCAAAGGTAAGAAATTCGAAATTATTAAAACACAGCGAATGATATTATAAAAACATTAAATGTATCAGATTCGTAACAAAGTTTTTTTTATAGTATTATAACTTTTACAGTTTCAGTTTTAGTGCTGTTTTTTATTCTTTATATATAATGTTTTGTTTGTAAATTAAACCTCTTACAAAATTTAGACAAAATTTACTTGTTGGTCACTATATGGAAAAAATAACTAATACTAATTTTTAAAATATTTTTAAGAGTGTTTCCTAATTAATTAATTGGTTCAATTATTTTATTAAATCATAATTTTGACTTCGATTTTGGTAATTATCAAAGAATTTTAGTAAAATGTAGTTAAACTTAAGTTCTAAAATTTTTAAGCAATTTATTAGTCAAACTAACTGATTTATTTAACTTTAAATACTTGTAACTTCAACTCAAATGGAATAGTATATGCCACTTCAAAGATAAAAATAAATAAAAAAAAAAGCTGTTTTATAATTCAGTATACCTTTACAATATAATTGCTTGTACTGTATAACAAATAAATGGTATTCCTAATGTTATGGGTAGAATTACTCTATAATCATTACATGGGATTTCCTATACAAAACTTAATAACTTTGCATTTGCAGGCAACTAACTCCTTATTGACTGGACTGCTGTTGAACAGGGCCATAAAAAAGAAGAATTTTTTTAAAGAAGAATTATTTTTAAAGAAAGTTAAAGTTTGTATATCGTAGAACAATGGAATATTTGCTATCACAAACATCAAAATATAACAAAACCTTTACGAAAAGTACAAAAATGAGAAGAAAAAGGCTAATTTAACTGGCCATAATCTGGAATATATAAACATTGTTCAAGCATCTGTTAAAAGTAAATTAAAGTCGTACAGAAGTATCAAAATACAAGGGCAATGTAAACAAAGAACATTGTCTCTTCCGTTTGGAAAAGTATCCTTGGGTAGATTTAGTTTACCGGCCAGCTAATTCTCCAATTTAAACTGCTTACAAATGAACGTAAATTTTAACAGCATTTTTCTGCTAGTTATAATGAGGATTATTTCTCTTTCTTGTGTTTTTTAACAGCTGCCGTATTCACCGGGATTTTGGGTTAACTGTGGATGGCGTCTTTTATTACCGCAGTTTATCGGGTGTCTATTGTAGTCAGTATGAATCAAATAAAAAGAGTCATATGTAATATTTATTAGTTCTTATTAGTTATAGAATAATGAAACCATTTCGAGTATTATTTTATGCAACATGTTACGTTATAATATCTTTTATTTATTATTTAGGACCACCAAATCACATTTCCTATTTCGTTATGGCAAATTTTTCTTTGCTTGGTAAATGGAACGAGTAATTAAAATGTTTTCGAGAAGACTGTCGTTATAGATCAGTAAATGATATATTCTCTAGCATGTTTGCAGAACATTCCATACATTCATCAAATATTGTAATGTATTTATACTTGTATTATTTAATATTTACAGGAAATTTCAGTTTTATTATTTATATTTATTTTTATAATTATTAAATTTTATTAATTTAAACTAAGTACGAGAATAGTGAATCTTTCTTCAGTACAAATTTAACCGAAAAATAATGCATTTAAGTATTGTATTGACTAAATCGTGAACGATTTTGTTTCTAGAAATTCGTGAATCTCCAAATGAAGTTATGCGACTGATTGTTGAATTGAGTTTATAAGTCAAAAAAATATATTTCACAATATACTTATTTTAAACAAGCAAATATATTAATAACGCGATGAAACGTTCTTTTAATTAATATTTATCGTTTTAGGAGATCTAAGTTATTACTTTTTTACATTTACTCCTTTGTTTATTAACCCTATAATATGGATCTGCAATATGTCGCATAACATTCTTTTTCAAAACTTTTGAAGTTGACTAACTGAAAAACAGATATATGTACCATAGTTTAAGTTTACGCGTATTGTTGCATAATTTCTTCTCACTCTTAACTGTTGAGGGCCTACCAGTGGCCGAGCGGTAAAGTCGCTGAACACTGGTAGTTCGTTCCGAGGTTCGAATCCCGCGAACTGGCTGGCAGCATGGGTATTTTCGTGGTTTTCCCCATGTGTAACGTGTATACGAGGCAGTTTCCCTTAGAAAGTCCTCCACGAAGGCATCCCTCTCCTTAGGCAGGTAGCCCTAGTGTGCTTTGCCATAATTAAATACACCACACCACCACTTAACTGTAGTGAAAACCGGTATTATTATAGCATAGATGCATGAATATACTAAAAAAAGTTTGGTAATTGCCTAATTGCACTTACTTTCTTGATTGCCATGTTAAGTAATGAATGTTTGGAATAAATAAAAATGAAAACGGTGATTCTTAACTAATTCTTCTAATGCCATTTTTATCTGTGAGAGTCTTAACACCTTGTATAAAGTTCTTATTGTATCTGATAAGGGAGTTTGGTTTGAACTTTCTTTTCTTTCTTCTTTTTTATACTTACCTCCTTTAAGAAAGAAGAACAAGTTAAAATGTAATAACATAGCTATGCAAATTCCTAGCTGTTTATTCAGTGCAAGGGCAAGAAAGAGAAATTAAGCACAGAGGTAAATGATAATCATAATGTTTTCCCACCTTACGCTTCATCTCTACACTGTTTATATAAATCTTCTGTGTGAAGAGAAGACATTTTTGAAAGGCTTTGGCGTACACCCTCCTTCTCGGATATTTAAACGACATATTCAGTATTGATGATCCGAGATTAAAATTTCGCGTAAACAGCTGTCAGTGACAGAGAATAACAGGACAATTCTTCGGCTTAAGTTAGAATTACTTCCTCTGTACATTGCTAACATAATCTGATGCATGTTATTTGATTACAATAAGACTTTCAGGCACAGCTTCTTGTATTCTGTAACTTTGAAATAATCTAAAATATTCGGAAAACTTTATGGCAATTTTAACTTTAAAGTGTATGCATTATTTAATGTATGATTTCAAAATTAAAGCCTTGTTAATTATGCTCATCATGAAACGTTTTGCAGTGCTAATATATTAATATAATCTCATCAACTCTACGTATAACTGATTGCTTTAAGTAACAAAAAATTCTGTGAGATAAACAAAATTTAATAAATTTAACACATCACTAATATAGCTTTGGCTATTTTCTGAAATTTTATTAGTTCCTTGATGTTTGATGGACGCCTTAATTTCAATAATATATAATTTACTCAAAATTACTTTAAAATCTTTTCACAGTGAAAAATAATACCATTTGTTTTAGTACAGAGAAATATTTCAATAGAAGCAAGTACTTTTTGGGGGAAAGCAAAATTTAAATGAAAGACCACATCTCCCTAAATATTATTTAAATTCCACCAATGAAAATTATGTAAAGTTTTATAGAATGCATAATGTATTTCTTCAGTTATCTAATAATTTTCATTAGTTTATAAATAACTTATTAATCATGCATTCAATGTGCATTTACAAGGCATTATTTGAATCACTAAAAATATTAAAGAAAACCATTGTTATTTACATTTATCTTATCTCTGTTCCATTAAAAATGTCAAAATTTATTTAGGAGTAAATTATCAATTTTTACATCTATGCAAAACGAAAGTTTAATACTTATAACGTGCTGCCCATTATGCAGCACGTTATAAGTATTATGATTTCTGTAGTCTATTCATTATAGACCACTGGTATTTAGTGGGAGGCACATTAAAACTGCACATTTTATATACTCGTAAATATACTTTGTAATTACTGTTCTACGACAGGGTTGTCATACGCTGAATAAAAAATCTAGGCTAATATGTCGAAACTTTTTAAAGTTTTTTAAATATGCCCATCAAATTACGTGCGTACGTAAAGCACACTTTCTCTTTCTATTTCAGATGAAAATAACTTCGAATTTTGGTGATTTTTATAAATGTTTTAAAACTAAACTTGCAGAAAGAAATTTATAATTGTTATGAAAAATAATTCAATACAGGACATTTTATATGGAGATGTGAAAAATATATCTTAAATTTTTTTATGTGGACGTTACTACTATGTTATGCAAAAACATAGCCGGAATGGGCAAAGAAATTCAAAATTCATAAACATTTCTAAGCAAATTAAAACTGTTAACGTGTACATAGTACTGTGAAAAAGTGAGATGATGATTAACTTAATGAATTTAAACGGTTAATTGTCACCGTTTTTAAGATAGAGCGTATTACTGTGTTTAATCTAGCAATTAACAAAATTAATAACATAAAAATAAGACAGCCCATTTAGAAAAGTACATTACTTGAGTTAACAAATAATAATGACATTGAAGTATTAATAACGTATTAAGAAATATTAATACTGAGTAGGTATACTATTTACATTGCGCGAAATCATATGTAAATCGTTTCATAACTAGAATGACCATTCTAATGCGAGTTGTATTCTGCGAATTAGCGTAGTCAGTGAAAATAGTATATATACTGATTCTGAGTTATGATAATTTATATAAATCGGTAACAAAATGTTGAGTTTATGCTTCAGTCGTATGACAACCTTTCGAATATTTTTTTTGAAAATATAGATCTATTATTCTGGCAACGGTAACAATAGAAGGATGAACTCTTGGTTTAATAATATAATGAAAATCACTCATAAAATATAATTAGAGCCTTATTTATGATATCACGGTCTTCCAGTCTTAGATTCGGCTGTCATAGATATATTCCAAATTTCTTCACCAATCATAGGCCGTATTAGTACGGTTTTCAGGTTGTGGGTTGTAGAATGTAGTTTTTGGTTTCGGCCCAACTAATACTTGTTGCTTGGGAATTGCATTTTCGTTAATATTTCTAGCCAGTGACGTAACTTCCTCATAAGCCTGAAATAAATAAGTAAATAGATTAATGAATGGTTTACATTTGCACAGTAAGATCTGGTAAGCAGGAGGCATGAAAAATGAGCAATGCTTTCGCCGGGAATCGAAACTGAACCTCTCGAATATGCGCTGATTGTGCTAACCGTTACACCACGAAGGTATGCCGGAAAGACGGAGAAATAATTTAGCAGCTTCAGTGTAAGCTGAAGCTTTTTCACCTTATGAAATCATCTCCGAAATGTTTCATGGCGTATCTACTTTTTTTTACCAGATACTCTGAAGATATCTCACGTCAAAAGAGTGATGTTAGTTTTTATTTTGGTGGAAAAATAAGTGTTTGCCGAAAATCTCGCGGACCAAACAATGCAAGGAGAAAATTACGTAGTACAAAACAATTTCCGGAGAAAAGAAAGCAAGGAGAAAACATCGCAGTTCTGAGACACTGTGGTATAAAACGCCATCATCGGCCGCCCAACTGGTATAGTGGTTAGCATCACTGACTGCCATTCCGAAGGGCCCGGTTCGTATCTCGGAGAAGGCATGGATGTTTGTAAATGTATAGTGTCCGTACGGTACAGGGCACTCTAAATATGTGGCGAGCCGAATGTCCTTTTGAGATGTTTGGTGGTAGAGGAAGAAGGATGGGATACTCTCGGACCCGTCCAGCCCGGGGTGCTCTCCATCAAAATTGGGGGCGGAACTGAGCTAAATGACCCTGTCCCCTGCATGGTGTTCAAGGTTGTTGCCAACAACAGGCGTAAACGTGCGTTCCTTGCTACGAGGAATTTCGTTCGGCTGACTATAGGCCAAACAAGTGAGCATTAGCAAGAACAACAACACATCATCATCGAAAATAAAATGATTCAAATACTTCATAACACATCGTCGTTGAAAATATCGTGGGGAAAAATAAAGTACTTAGAAAACATCGCATAAAGACAACATCACAGACATGTGATTTTCAGGCTTTAAAAGTAATACATTTTAAAATTAATTTTCAAACTGCAGACTTATTTTCTTTCAACTTTTCGGTCCGGGGAACGGCAGGATGCATAAGAATTTTTGCGACTTTTAACTTTCCTAATGCATAACCTAATATTTTTCTAGTGTATAACGTTTTGCGAATTTCCTAATGTATAAAAAGGTAGTTCCTGAGAAAGTCTGTCATAAAAGCATCTTAAATCTATAAGCATCTTAAAAGGACCTTAGGCAGATAGTCCTAGTGTGGGTTTGACATAATTCAGTGAATCAAAATCTTTTACTGAAATACTATGCAGCTAACCCCTGACATGTTCCGTCAGCACTACAATCAACATCCAAATGATAAAGTACAAATTATCAACATCCAAATGATCAACGCTGTACATTAAAATGTTAATGACAGTTCAAGGAAACGAATAAACTGCAACAAAAGAAGATTTAATTTTTCCTAACAGAATATCAGATTAACAAAAGTGAAAGAAAATGACTTTTATAATTTGACAAATAATTAAAGTGTTAATATGGGTATGAGAAACTACCAATATAATTTTATATATCAGATTAATTAATAAAAGGCCTTTAATAGTTACCTTTATAAGTTTAAAATTCTGCTAACTGCTATAAATGTAGCATTAATTTTCTACTCGTTTTCAGTTTCCGAATGCTTAAAACTCCTTCAGTTTTTTTTAGCAAAAATTTATTAGTTTAAAAGTATGAAATATAGATGTAAAAATATTCCTCATTCCTTCTTGCTCTCACAAAAAATTACTACGCGAATATACACTAATGTTTGTGAAAATTGCAACGCCATGAAATGCAAATTTAACCAAGTTTACAGGAAATGTAAAGTGAGATGAAACATGCAAATGATTAGAATCACAAAGCGACTGATGTAGAATGAGAACTGGCCGCTTGCTCCATGTACCTAAGGACTGTAAAGTTGTGTTGAAATTTGTTTATGGTCCTCTGTCTGTGGTGAACGTTTAATACTGATCAATATGCCTCGCCAACAGTGGAGGTTGCTATACCAACAACTAACAATGGGGCAATCGCAGCTCGCACGCAGCAGTGCTGCAACAGTGATGCGTGTTTGGGAGAAATGGGCAGAGGAGAACCAAACAAGGCGGAATCTTGGGCAGTGGGGCACGGAAGCACAACACAGCGGGACAACAGACACCTCACCCGCATGGGCTGTGATGGATCGTACAGCGTCCTCTCGTGTGTTAGCACAACGTTATGGCTACAGAGGTTGGGTTGCCCAGCTCCATGGTTTGTCACCGTTTCCTGCAGAATGAACTGCGTGCAAAGGTTTCTCTTTGAAGAATTCCCCTGTCGCTGAATAACAGACGCCTCCCACTTCAATGGCAACACAGTGCGTGGCATGCCCTGTGGCTACAAATTGTCTTCTGGGATGAATCTCGCTACAATCTGGAGTGCAATGATGGAAGAGTGCGCATCAGACGTTACAGAGGGAAAGGACTGATATCATAGAGTGTTATCTAGCATCTTACCGCACAAACACCTGGAATCATGGTGTAAGGGCCTATTGGATATAATTGTCGATTCCATCCAATGCAGTTTGCGGGCAACCTCAACAGTGATCGCTACATAAGAGAAGTTGTGGAGCCAGAGGTCGTCCCCATTTTTCGACGTATTCCGGGAGGCATATCTGTACCGCGCCAAGCGCATAAGGAAACATACGTACTTGTGATTGGACATACTTTGTGATGACATCATTTTCTCTTGGTGTAATGACGTTTAGGTGGAATTCTTATAGTTTTAGTTTCGTTGAATGACGTGCATGAGTGATACGGAATCATGAACATTATCATTTGTAATCTTTGAATAATAATGCCAGACGTAAAAATTGACATGCGGATGCCATCTTGTTTATGGAATAATAAAATTATAAATTCCTTCAAAGATGCTGTTAATATCAGAAGCAACCTCTCAAATCTCGACTCAAATATAAAGGCAGATGTGCTAGTAAGTATATTATGATTGAAATTTTGTTGCATTCTGTTCCTTTCACATTGCAGAAAATATTTCCTTTGCAACTGTATATGTTATTTCCATATAATTGTTCATGTCTTTCACACTTCTAATGTTCCGTTGCCTTAAATAAAAGAAAAAAACTCATTCAGTATATTCGCTGAATACACGTATATAAAAAACTTTCTTTTCTGATAAACGCTATTTTTGTGCAAAGGTACACATATATTATACATTAAAAATGGGCAGTATTCATAAAGCACAGATTTATGGGAAATATTCAATTTATGCAATAGTTGTCTCTATTTCTGTGTTCCAAATCTATAGTAGTCTAACTTCAAAAATAAATTTTACTTTTCCAGATTGACGCCCACTAGCGGCCGAGCGGCAAAATCGCTGAACACTAGTAGTTCGGTCCGAGGTTCGAATACCGCGAACGGGCTGGCTGCATGGGCGTTTTCGTGGTTTTCCCCATGTGTAATGTGTATACGAGCCGATTTCCCTTAGAAAGTCCTCCACGAAGGCATCCCTCCCCTTAGGCAGATAGCCCTAGTGTGCTTTGCCATATTCTCAATACACCAACACTACCACCTTTTCCAGATTGACTACAAATATTGTGAATTTACTGTGTATTATTTTACTACCAACGTTTTTGCTGTTTGTGAAAACTGACTTGTCTCTTGTTTTCGGAGATTGTATCTGCAAAGAATCTATACTGAATGAACATGAATCAATAATTAATAATCGCGAAACCTATATGAAGGCTTTTAAATTAAGAATACATTTATTAAAAAACCACTGCGCATAGTATTAATACCCATTGGCGGAATTAGCGATACTGAATTTCTTCTCTATGAAAAAGAAAAAGCACTATATATTTTTATATTAAATTCATCACATCGTGCCGTAATAAGAGTAACTCGCAATAAAAATTCAACGCACGTCATTAACGATAATAATCTTTTTGGTACTGCTATCAAAATGTAAATAAACGGTATGGAGGTGTATTTTCGAGCTCAAGCAAAGTCAAGGCGTTCCTAAGCGTAGAGAAATTGATATCAATATCGGAAGCCATATCCAATCACGGAGATGGACTTTCCCTATGCGCGTGGTGCGGTACAGAATGCTTATATGTTTCCGGGAGCTGTATTTTAGCAGAATAATGCTCGCGCACATGTTTCTCAAAGATTGCACAAATCTTCTTTAGGGCACAACAGGTTCTTTCATAACCTGCTTAATTCTCGGGTATATCGCTAATTGATCATATCTGGGATTTCGTCAGTCGGCGACTTGCTCGTACAGCTGTTTGGCACGTACTAAAACTAAACTTCGGCGTCAAGTCGAAGCCAAATGGAATGTAATTCCCCAGGATTACCTTCGAGACTTCTATGATTCAATGAAACGAAGTGTACAGGCTCTCATCGCTCAGAGTGCGGACACACAAAGTACTGATTTACGATGTTCGTTTTAGTTTTTGTCTTGTAAATTTGATCGTTTATTTGTACTAATATCAGTAATATGTGGTATAAATTTCATGCATTTCCGACGATTCCTTCACGCTGTGGCATTTTTCACAAACATTAGTGTACATTTGTTAATATTATAGGAACATACATTTATAATTTTTAAAGCCTGAAGAATGCGTCTGCGATGTTAGTCATGCGATGTTTTTTACCACAATATTTTCTAAAACGATGTTTAAAAAACTGAGAAATATTTGAACGGCTTTATTCCCCACAATATGTTTTCTCCTCTCTTTCTTTTCTCCCACAATGGTTTATATGACGATTTTTCTCCTTACACTATTTTCTCCGCGACTATTTTTGTCTGCGATATTTTTGCCACGATGCTTTCACTTCTAACAGAAAAATGAAAAGGAAAAAGCATTCTTGAATTACATTTACATAGATATACATTTGTAATGCTATATACGTACGATGCTGTCAACAAACTACATTTCCGTAGCAGGTTTAATCCACCGGACAGATGAAGTTATTCTTGATTAAAAAATAAAAATTTCTTAGACATCAATCGTATCTTCAGAAAATGTATTATTACTTTTATCTTCGTTTTAATGAACTTACACTCTTAACAAATTTCGAAGAAGTCATAGAGAAAATGTAGAACGTTTCTTTAAGTATGCTTAAGTCAGAAAAGGATTTAATTTTTATACAAGCAGTATCTGCAAAATTGCTTTTTTTTTAATCAGAAGATTTTTCATTGAATCTCATAGTATTTTTACAGGAAATTAGAGATCTTTCGCAGAAGCTTTTGATGAGAATGTTTAACTATTAATTGCAAAAGCTTAAAAAAATTAAACAGTAAAAGCCACGATTTTAAAGTGTACACTTTCCGACTAAAGAGAGCATAAGGTTCAAAAAGAAGTTAAAAAAATATGGCTATTTTACAAATATATAAATTCCCATAATGGAAATTTATTCAAGTCATTGATTTTTTAAATTAAGGAAACTACGTACTGGCTTGCTTACGTAGTCTGATCGATACAAGGGCGGTTTAAATCAAAATGATCGTTTTCAATATCTTCTGCAGCGATAACAAAGAAATGGAAAGCTGTCAGTTTCAGTGTACACATTTTTCAGCTCACCGCGATAAACTTTTACCGATAGAAATAGGTTGAAAAGTTTCTGCTCGGTTCATTAATAATATTGTGAGAATGGGAATTTGCATGCCGTGATGCTCGGATCATAGCTAAATACAAGTGAAAAGAAAGTAGGACACCATTTCTTAAGATGCATTGATAGTTTTGATTTTGCTTGAACGTGTTTCACCATTCAAGCATCATTATATGAAAGTTTACATATTTTACCAATTTCCTAGCTCTCTAGTTATTTTTCAGCTTTTATTTTAATTTAAAATTTAACTCTTCTAACCGTCCTTTCAACTCACACGCAACGCCTTATTTACAGGAACGCGAAGCTATGTCACCGAGTTAAAACGTAAAATATCGTTGGAGAAATTGACAGTTATGATGTCTATCAGAATAGATATAAAAATGTATTCACTGTTTGTAATTAAATAATTTATAATAAAAAGATTTATTAATCTAACGTGTAGTGCAGTGTAAGGTATTAAATTTGTCGTCGTAGGCGGAGCTGCCAATTTATGCTGTGCATGAACGGGTGGATGGCGGTGGGACGAGCCAGTCATATTATATTATAGCTAGTGCAGCAAAAGACAGCCAAGTAGAAACAAATGTTGAGGTCAGCTTATCTTTGATAAAAGCCAGGCCGTACTGAAGTGGTATTGGACGTATGAGAACATTCACGACGTATAACGGTAGTGACACAGAGAGTTTGGAACACCGCCAGTGAAAGGTCGAACATTTGCTTGCATTTGCGATAAATTCGAAGCCGATGGTAACGTTAGAGATGTGCACAAAGAAAGGTGTTGCTGACTACGAACAGAGAAAAGTTTGGCGTCTAATGCTGCTGTGCTGCGACATTTCATCCGATCACCGCAAAAATCTGTTAACTAGGAAGCGCGCGAAAGCGGGCTGAGCCGGTTAAGTGTAAGATGCATTGTGAAGAGTGCTAAGTGGAAACTGTACATTCCAAGACTTCTACCCGCGATGAATGAGGACGACCCAGATCGAAGGATGGAAAACTATGAATGGTTTCAGCATATGGTTGGCGAGGATAAGGAATCTGCAGGAAAGTTTGTGTGGACTGACGAGAATCAAACCAAATTTAACGGTACTGTGTACATTGTATCTACTGGGCTCCTAAAAATCCTCACGCTCATGCGAACAGGGAAGTGAATCTATGAGGTTGCTATGCGGTGTGGTCTATCACTGCGTGTTTTGCGTGGTTTGACTGGTCCCTTCTTCTTCAAGGCTACCGTAACTGTTAAGGCATATCTTGATATACCTCAGACAAAGAATTTTCCTGCCATCGAAAACATGTAGGATGATAAAATGTTTTACTTGCAACAAGACGAAGCCCTGCCTCACTACCATCTAGATGTCAAGTTGAATCCGATAAAACTCTATCCGGAGAATGGATGGGTCGATTGAGTACCCACCTTGGTCTCCTGATTTGACATCTACTTCTGGGGGACCGTCAAGAATCACCTGTACCGACTAAAACCAGTAACAGTCGACGAGCTACGGGAAAGATTATAAAGAACTGTATCTGGAACAATGGCGTGCTGCCGTTACGCCAGATACATTAACAGCCGTAGTTCGTTGTGCTGTTATGCTCTAAGGGTGCTGCGCAGAAACTGCTAGTGGTCATTTTGAACACATACCTTAACTCTCTCTTAGTCGCAAATCTGTTACGTCAAATCAAGTTTGTCGCAAAATATGGACCAGCAAACATTGTTTGAACCCCTCTGTATACTAGATGTATTCTCTATACTCTTCAAGTTCTCGTTCATCTGTAAATATTACAGATGAGCGAATACTTGAATGACTCTCTGATTTCCTCACCGATGCCTCAAGGATTCACTGCAGTTGCAAGAACAATGCATTTTGAATTACTTTATCATAATGAATTAATGTCCTCTCACTGTTTAAGGGCTAAAAGCTTATGCTCACGTGGAATTTCCAATTTGCTTATATTTATGTCAAATTGTGTCTCAGAATACCTTTTATCGACTTAAATAGATTGGTTGCTATCCATTTTAAGGTAATAAGTGTGGACGTTTTTATTTTCAAATATGCTTGTCTTAAATATTTGACTTTTGCCCTTTATTGTACTGTTATGTGCATTTTTGTATGTCGTGTAGTGATTTATGAAAGAGTCGCATGCCAATATGATCTATATAAATGAATATACGGCAATAATTTTAAATCGTAGGATGGTTCTATAACTGAATAGTGGCATCTGTCATTTTCCTTCTTCAGTTTAATATGTTGTAATGCTGCAGTTAGTGGTGCATTTAAAAGAGAGTAGTTGGATTTGATTATTCTACTTTCATGAAAATTTTGAATTTAGCACTATAGATTGCTGTATATAACATGTAAAAATAAATAGTAGAAGTTGAAAACTCGGTTGGAGACAAAAAATTCAAAAACGCTCACTGATCTTAGGTGAGATTGTTTAACTTTGTTCAAGGGCGGTGGTTAAAGCACTTCTTTTTGCAATGGTTTGAAATAAACATAAAACAATAAATTCCGGCTAAATAAGCCTAGAATTCAGTAAATAAGACTTAAAAAGATACTTTAAAAGATAGAATATTTTTTTTTTACCTTAAAATCTCTTCTGATGAACTCGTATTCAAAACACGCTTCAGGACTTGCTGCCTGAGCAAGAATACCTTTCGGATTGAAGGCTGCAGCTAGGGCTCGCCGAGTCAAAGCACCGCCAGCTTCTACGGTGGGAGTGAAAGAAGTCTTATTCATATTGAAATCTGATGTATAGTTTTGGCCCTCCCCTGCGTAACCTGGAAAGTAAAAGGCGGTTAAAATAAACTGTTATCCACAGATAGCCCCAAAGATAAAAAAAAAAAATACAAGTAACTCGTTTTAAAATAATTGGAAATTTATAAACAATGCATATTACTCGAAATGCTGTGCTTGCATAATATTTGTAGTTTATTAGTCCAAAGGGATTTGAGTCCCGAAGGACTATTACTTTCGTTTTGGCATTTTGCGTCGGACTCCTATAAATGTCGGTTCACGTTTCAAACTGTTACCACAAAATGTTAGAGTCCTGCATTATATGTGAAGAAATTAAATAAAGAAAAATGCATAAATGTATGTATATTTCTCGCATTGTGATAAAACAACGGTATCTAGAACTATCCAGTTTTGCATGACGTAATCCTACTGCGAATATGGGCATCTGAAATCCCAAATTTGAAATTTGGAATTTGTTTTATTATCGATTTCATATTTTGTAAAATTTAAGCGAATTTTTGAGTAACAAACTCAACAATTTAAAAGCGAGCAATGGCAACCCTCTACGAGGAAAAAAAACCTTTTTATCTCCAGCGCGTCGAATTGTGTATCGGAAATTCTAAAGATATGCTCAGTTTAAAAATATTTTGTGACATTTCTATTGAACTAAATTTTATGGTTTAAGTGCAAAGAACATGATATTTAATAAATAAAGGTAACACACAAAATGTTAAAAAACGCCCCTTTGGACGTAACTTAAAATCTGAAACATTTCAGATTTTTTTAAAAATTATTTTTGGTGAAAAAGTTCTATGTAATAGGACTGCGAAATGAAATTAAATTGAGGAAGAAACTCGTGGTGCATATACCAGCCATTATTCACTACAACCTCATGATTAAAATTATATTTTTTTTTGAAGGGAGTGGAAGCACTGTTGCGTGGGGAATGAAATTCTTCGGCAATAAACAATGATTTCACCGCATGTTGCTAGTGTTTTATTTGACTTACTTATTAACACAGCAGAAATATATAAAGAGCAACAGTAATTGCAGAAACAATTCCTGTTTCTAACGGTAGATGAATAATAAGAAGAATGGAGAGCTTTTGTAGTTTCTTGCTCTTCATCCTTTCTTTGAGGTACTATTTAATATTCTTTGAGGTACTTTTCCTAGTTAGAGCAGATGCAAAGAGGTGGTATAGCTTTATACTGAACGTTAGGGTACGTTTCAGAAATGCACAGCAGGATTCGTCTTCGATAACGATTGCCAAATAGGCGTCTTTAATGACGGATGTTCTTCTGAATCATGTTATATCATATAGCGATTTATCAATGGATCGGAAGTTTAGGAAAACTCTTTGTGCAATACGATTTGTTACTGCATTCTGTCGAAAGGAAGTATTTGTTTTGAAGCATGTCTCAAAAGCATTTGTATTTGTACAGAAAAAGCTTTCGAACAATAATATTGTTTATAAATGTAAGTAAGAAAAAAATCGAAGTGAACTTTGAAATTTTTCAGGTTTACTTGTCAACTATCCAGACGCATGAAACTGCCCGTACACACTCACATATACGATCAAATCGGCTGCTGTAGCGAATACCCCTGTAAAGCGATAGAATATTTTAGTTATTTGATATATTCATTCGAATTTCTATTTCTTTATGTTTGTTCTTGAAATGTAATGTAAAAGCACATATTTGTAGAGTAATTAGGATTTTATTTTTGAAGAGAAGATGTGAAAAATGTGGAATAAAATTCGAAATCAGGATTGCTCGATTCCCAGCTGAATGTGCTTCCAATTATACTACGAAGGCACGTTGTAAGAAGAGAGAAAGTACCTTACATATTTCCTCTCTTAAAGGGCAACTGGGCAGAAGAGGACTCCATCGCTATTGATGTAACTAAATGTACCAAACGATGACGAAATTTTAATAAAATAATTACCAGTTGCAATTTAATGGAAATCTGTTTCTAGGTATAAAAACCGTAACATATGGAAAAACAGTTTTTTATTGAACCATCTACTTACTCATTCTTTCGTTTTTAATAATATGACAAATTATAGAACATTTCTAAAATTGTTACGAAAGATTGCCTCTATACTCACCTCCACCCTCTCCTGGAATGCCCAAATATCCACCAGTCGAATTTGAAGTCGGGTTTGTAGTTCCATAACCTCCTTCATTATTGTTAATTCCTGGCCGTGTACCTCCCAGGTTCTGTTTCGAGAGGGATCTAGCCATGGGATTCGAAGGTACTCCATGAGGAGCAAGATGCGCTGTTTCTTCAACCACAGTGTCAGGTTCTTGATCATCCTATTGAGAAGAAATCTTGATTATTGATCACAAAACAAGATTTTGGTTTATAACATATGGTATTTATCGTACTTCTCTGTTAAAATTAACTACATACAGGTTATAGAAGAAAGACCGAACTAACTCAGTATGATGCAAAATTTGTCATCTCAAACAATGGCATTATACAACTTCTGCAGAAATAAAATATATATGTTGTTATGTATTTATTGATAATCCTTTTATAGGCATCAGCATTTAGAAAATTCAGTTTAAGATATGAAAAATGAATTCATAAATGAGTCTTAAGAATTTGCATCATTAGATATGGACAACATAAACTATCTAGTGTTTGTTTTATCGCACGAAAAATATAAGAAAGCCTTCAAAAGCTTAAGGCATTTGAAAGATAAAAAGCAATTTAATTACTATCTATCAACTGATGCAGTTTCTAAATAGAATGAAATGCAAGCTTTACCACACTTAATTTAATAAACTAGTATTATATTAAAAAAAGTAAGGAAAGGCTAGATTTTTGATTTTATTTGAAGACATTCAAAATGCCATATGCATCTATAAACAAAGGGACATACAAGTAAGAGTGAAATTTACTTGGATCATGCAGAAATGATTGACACAACGGCTCTCACAACGAAACTATTACACTATGCGAAGAGAAAACAAGTGAAATAGACACAAGGGGGGCTTGAGCTACTCAGAATGCATAGTTTGAGCTGGCCGCAAGCGAACGGTATAGGTCAGCGCCCGTCCCACCGTCGTCATTGAGAGCGCAGATAGCAATTATGGAAGGTGATTATCACGGCCAGCGTTGGGCAGCGTGGTTCCTATGGAAGGAAGGGATACAGGGTAGTGAGATCCATCGTCGCATGGTGTCGCAGTGCAGGAACAAAGCACTCTCAAAGCGTACCGTATCCCGTTGGTTGGCCAAGTTCAGCAGCGGAGTGATTTGATCATGGCGAACAGGAGCATAACGTTCACCAAGATGCAGCAAGAGGCAGGGCTTTATTAGCTTGTTAATATCTTATAGCTGGTATTTGCCTATGGAGTGGTGTAGTGTATACACTGACCACTCCATAGACTGACCAATAGGTATTTGGACACCTGTGATAGAAAAGAAAAACTAACTTTATTCAAAATCAATAGCTGGTAGAGCCTCCACGAGAGGTAATTACAGCATGGACCCTCCGGGGCATACTTTCCAAAAGTCTTTGTATGACAGCTAGTGGTATTTTCTTCCACTCGGCTTGGAGAAGACATAAAAGTTCCTTCACCGATTTTGCACGGGTAGTGCACGCCTGAATTCGGGGATGCAATTCGTCCCAGAGGTACTCGATAGGTTTCAGGTCTGGACTCTGGACAGGCCAGTCCATTTGATGAACTCCATTGGCACCATACCAAGCCTTGGTTAACGTCGAAACATGACAACTGGCATTGTCGTCTTGAAAGTAACAGGGGTTCAACCCGTAAAACTGCCACAACGTAGGAAGCACATTATGAATTATTTTGTTTCTTTAAGGTGTTTTATAGAAGAATTTGTAGCAAAGTATTATGGTTTCTGTACAGTTTTAAGAAATTAACTTCTACCAAGGTGTTATGGATTAGATTATTTGGATTACGGCAGTGTTCATAACGGCTATGAGCCTTCGTGGAGGACATTGTAAAGAGTATTGCGTAGTATTCACGTTACACATAAGTGAGGGAGGACCACGGAAACACCCATGGAAAAGCTCCCTCGTCAGGATTTGAACGTGAGTCAAACTACTATAGTCTTTTACTTAAAATTAGTAAGGCTTTTCTGATACTCCCTCGTTTATGATTGTTATGCATGTAGCCGCCATCACTGAGCAGAACTTTTTTTTTCCTGTCTCATTTCAGACAATAGTTCAAGCCTTCATTAGCAAGCTTTTCATGAAGCAAATCACATTAACTAGAAGTGGAGAAATAAAGAGTGGACTCGACATCCTCCAAACCTATTGTTAGATGGTTACGAGGCAAGGTGGAGGCGGAAACTGATCTCGAGTTTCCCATTCTAAGTAACAGATTAAAGTATTCAGCAGTTTTACCGCAAGGTAGTATGAGCCGTACAACTCGCCATTTTCAAAAACTTGCAATCTACTCAATCCATATTACGTTAAATTTGCTATACTGTAATAATAATAATAATAATAAAAAATCCAAGCTTACCTGGAAGGAAGCAAATCCTTTATCTTTACGGTAATAATTGATGAAAACGAAGAGAATGAGAACTATTAAACTAGCAAATCCATATCCTCTAAAAGTTACTTGAGTACCTGTTAAAAAATTAAGCGAGTCATCACAGAGCAGTACAATCTAATAACTTAAATTCATTCCAAGTAAATATGTTAATCGTGCAAAGTTGAAACAGAGAGATCTAAAAAGAGAAGAATTAAGGCATATCGTGTCTAAAATGTAACGATAAACTATATAAGTGACAAAAACTTTCTGACGCGTACCGTTTTGAGGAAATGTGTTGCAATTATATAAAATGGTACTGATTTTTTATAATTCTGAATAAAATATTTTAAATAGCGCTCTTAAAGCTACTTTTTACTGTTAAAAATTAGTTTGATTATTATTATTTTTTTCTCAATTTTATTAAGCACAAATCAAGAGGGAATATTCTGAAATTAAGTTGAGGTGCATGAAATGTTTATTATATTTTGTACATTATTTGATTTAATTTATATGAAACAATCAAGGGATGATGGAGTAGTTGTATCGTGAAATTTTAAATATGTTTTACGTAAGACCAAGTTTTCTGAAAGTATACGTTATGATATGAGTTATTACAAAATATGGTTACATTATTATCAAAGATATGAGACGAAAATTCGCATTTCCGGTTATTGGCATTTAAAGAATTTGCTCTGTTTGCTTTTAGTTTCTCCTTTTCTGATTTTTTGAAAATTATTTTATATGGTTATAAATATGACTAGCTTATGCAGTTGTAAAACTACTTCCGATATAAAAGTTTTAAATTGATTATTGATTTTTGCTTTCGGCAGTGCAATAACATTAGTAATTCGAACGAATTTCGGATTTTGAGAAACATGATTAAACGTTAAATTTGTAGAACAAGGTAAACAAAAATATTCAAGATGCATTAAAAGTATATGTTTACTATGAAAAGATACATTTGAAATAATAGTGCATTGTGAAAATGGTCTAACATTTGGAATTTGACGCGATATTGATAGATTAAAATATAATATTTAGAAGAAAATTTAACTGCATACGCAATTCTAAGGAAAATGAAATCTTTACAAAAATCTTTACATTTAAGAATTACTTTGAAAAACATTGTAGGAAACTGAATCTTAACTAACTGAAAAATATCTAGCTTACATACAACTGCTGCCTTTCGACTTTGATTAATTAAAACAATCTAAACTGTATCTTAAATTCAGTTTTCCAAGTAAATAAAGTCATTACTCTTCTTTCCAACCTGGAAAAGATAGTGTCTTGAAGTTGCTGCTTTATTGAATATGCCTTAGGAATGGAGAAACTAAATCAAACTTCATAGTTATTGAATAATAATGTTAACTAGCTAGTATTTCAGATCCCTGGTACGAAAAGAATTATAGCTTCCATTTGAAATCGGATTAAAATGCACTCTGATCTAAAAGATTAACAGAGAAAAAAAAAAGGGATATAAAATTATATAAAGTTGGAAATATATACAGGAATGAGTTATAACGCGAGTTTAATTACATATGGGACATAATACGACTCCAATCCAAAGGGGAATTAAAGTTGCATTGTTTAATTAGATATAAAAACTTATTTGTGCATTTGTTAGAAGAGTAACAATAATAGAATGATAATTAAACAATTGATCATACCATGAATTAACTGAGATTTATAATTCTTGAAATTTAAACTGGGAGAACGAACAAAAATTTTAAATAGATATAAGAAATTTTGAATAGATATAGATACTTTCAGTATCTAGCTATATTTTAGTGAAGGGTACCATCATGAAATCTATGGTGTAATATGTTGCAATAATCTGCTATACATTTAGGAGAGTACATTTGCTAAAAACTCTCTTTTAAATAAAAATACTACCTTAAGTATTGAATAATTTAAAAGTGTTTTAGCAATACACATTTTATTTTTATATGAACGTGTGTATTAGGCAGTTTTGTACATTTATAATTTCTAGAACGATTTCATTTGAAAAGCAATTGTAAAACTTTTGTTACATGATATTTTTTGAGATCTCTCGTGCTATTTTTTACAGGATTTAAAATTTACCAAAATAGTTGACGAATATTCCTCCAATAACAGCTCCACATCCTCTCCCAAGACCATGATGAAGACCTTGTAAGACTCCTTGGGCTGAAGACCTCAAGTTGGCTGGAGTCGCCTGGGTTATATAGGAACAGCAAGCGGCCCATACGGCTGCGTGAGTAATACCTACCAAGGGAAAAAAATGAATGCTATACTAAGTATCAACTTTACATGAATCTGATTTGATAAATCAATTTTTGCAATAAGTTTGATTTCATTGCTTTGCAGGGTTGCTATTGTGCCTAGAAACTGAGTTAAGTCCTGCAGATCCTACTACACAAATTAGCGAGCTAACAAGCAACAAGTTACCATCACAATTTCAAAAGTCACAAAGTCCTGAAAAAATATTTAAAGAAGCCTTTTATTTCAATCTAATATGCACAGAAGTCCCCAAGTTGTACCACTGACAAAAACTACCACTGGTGACTATTCAAATTAAGAAATAATAGACAATTTAATTTTAACGCTGATAACGTAATCTGAGACTACATATTCAAAAAGTAAGCTATAAGCTGGTTTAGTTATTTTACCAGCGCGTAATTAACTTACGTATCGATTAGCGAGAGTTTGCCAAAGCCAGAATATCACTTTTGTACACAGCTGAGGAGGAACTCTAACAACAGATGCGAATAGCAGCAGCTATCTCTCTTAAAGATTCAAAACCCTCAATTTAAGTGCTCTCAAAGTTAATATGTATTCTGCTGAGGAATACGGAAGGAAGAAGTTAAAGATCAAAATCATAATAACTGGTTAATTAACATAAGATACGTTACAGTTTGAATGAAAAACCGAGTATACACATATTTTGGTGATCAGAAGCTGACTTATTAATTTAATCTCTTTTCATTTTTACTGAATTATATATTTAATTCTTGATTTACGATGATTTGTTCTGTAACTAAAAGGCAGTAATATCCATTTAATTTTGCTAAGAAACGTTGATCTACTTTTTTCATCTGAGACCAATACAAATACAATGAGTAGATACAACGAGATACAACGAGTAGAGAGACAAAGATTATTTTACCATTTAGTATTATTTTCAAATACAAAAATATTTTTGCGTGCAAAGGATATTATACGCTTTTATATATTTGTTAGGTTTTATGCATAAAGTTTCAAGTATGGTTATAGCTCATGATTATAGCTTCAAGAACAAGCATTTCTTTGCTCTTGAAGAAACAAGATTTGTATCTGATAACCCTTGAAATCCACATATTTGTACTCAAAAATCTACGCTAAACAAGGTTGCTCTTTTGCGAAATCGTTATCCCAATTAAACATTAAATTTTCAACTCATGACTATAGTTTAATTTCTTAGTGAAAGTGAGAAATGGGGTATTATCAAATATTAATAGATTGTTTTCAAGTTTATATACTCTTTGAAGTATCGAACTCTGAAGTTTCAGTTCCACGTAGCTACCGAAAAAAGATATATATACCGGTGCATAACAATTACAAAATGTTGAAGTGCATTACATTCCTTTCTGTTACTTTATTGGTTGGTATATTCGCTTGCATTCGAAAAATCTTTAATAAAAATAATGAGGTATATATTTTAGTTGAGTGGTTGCCCACCTTTTTATCAACCGAGCCATACAACTAGTTTTTTTATTATATATATGAAAAAATAAAACAAAACGGAGAAATAAACATATTTAATTAGGGTTAGATTTGAAAAATAAAAATAATAAATTTTAGTGGGGGAGACGTCTGTTTTGTTTGGCAGAACTAAGTGCATCTGTATCAGTGCCGACTGAAGCTGCAGCTAGCTACATGCAAACAATTTTCCAAATTACCATCAGTGATTCGTGTTCTCATTTTTGATTTGATATACTTTATCAAACTAAAAAGCTATTTACACGGTCATTCACAGACCATGTTCGTAAAATGTAGTCTACTTCTCCTTGTACAATTATACTTTGTAAAAATCTTCCAAACCAACTTGGTGAAATTTCTCTTTTAACTGTGGATTATTACGCATTTTACTACGTTCCAATGACTGTAATTTTTTTGGCAATAAATTCGCGTCTTTGGTGAATGGCGTTGAAAATTCAGTGAAAGTAAATTATTATTTTTAAAATCAGTTTTCGAATTCAAGGCTCAAGTCGGATATCAACGAAGCATATTTATCTGTAGCCGCCTGTGTGAATTCTGGTTGCAATACCAATATAGGAAAGTGAGCGAAGAATTTTGTCAGATAAGACTACTTTTTGTTTTCATATTCTCGATACTTTTCGACTTGCTTCGAAAGAATGATTATATTTTTGCTTCAAAGTAAACATTTGTTCAATATTTTGCTACGTGTTAACTATCTTACATCTGCATAAAATATGACATAATTATACTCTGAATCTAAAGATTTGAGAAAGTCTTGAAACCAGCGGCGATTCAACCTTTTGACTTCACGAAGTTCACTACTTTGAAGATCACCATCATGATGTAGTTCACTGCTTTGATGATCATGGTCCCTTTTAAGAGACTTGGAACATAAATTTTCTTAATGAATGATACAATGAAATTTTAACATTGAAGTATTACCAAATTTGGAGGCTTCATTTTCAATCAGTTATACTAAATATTCGTGTTTTCAACCTTTGCTAGAGCACCATTTGTTGTTGAGCCTGATAGGCTACTAAGTTGTAATGAGAAGAGATCCAATGTCGATGTAATTTGCTCCTAAAAATTCTCGTAAGCAATGTAATGTCCTTAAGTGGATACAGTGCCACTTCCTCTGTTACGTTAAAACGGATATTCACAACCGTGATAAAATCGCAACTTGGGCCATATATCAGCATTTGGAAGATTATATCGGTGCTTTCAAGTGCTAAAGCATAAACTATAAATTTGGATGCTAGACGTTTCAAATTATTTTCAATATGTTTTTCAGTGTCGTCCACATTAAAACGTTTTTTAATATGACCCAGATCCGCGGGCCACAAGCTGACACCTGGCGGGCCGAGGATTGACCACCTATGTATTAGTGGATTTTATAGCTTACAGCGGCAAGCACTAATTATATGAAAGTATTATTATTATTATCTTAAACTGTGTGTAAAAGTCATGCGTATTCAATCGAGAGAAAGAATTCGGATCTCAAAATTTATATATTCTTTGATTGATTAAAGCTTGAAATCTGAAAATCCCATTTCTTTATATTTATCTATGATTCGCTTAATCTACCTAAAAAATGCTTCACACAGAATGATCTTGACGGAAATAAGTAGCATGGCTTTGAGAACTCAAAGCTTATTGATGCTTTTATAAGATTGCACACAACATGTGCAGTAACTCTGGATTAAAATATCACACGAGTTATTTTAGATAAAGTTTTCCATTGTTCAAAATAAAAATAAAAAGCACAAAATAGCATGATAACTATAAAAATAAATTACATAATCATAATAGAAAGCCGGAAGAATCATAAAATATGGAATATATATATTATTTTCAAAAGAGTTATTTAAATAAAAAATGAACAGTGCATTTACTTTTTATACACGGTCAGAAGAATTTTCTCGAGATAAGTAAAAAAAAAGGGTTCTTCTGCGAGAAAAGTTGAGCGAATGAATAATTGAGAAGAACGAATATTGACTGCCACCGTCACTGATGTGGTTGCTATGACAGCCGGCGAAATCATATATACATAATTCTCTCCACACGGGAAATATTTATTACTATGCTAGATTTTCTCTGGATGTTATACGATTATCACTGAAGTTTTAGTTTTCTGCTTGGACAGGTCACTTTTCACTATTTCTTTACTATGCTTTGTTTGAATGCTTCATAAAAAACGTATATTATATTCAATACCCAATGACATCTTTTCGAATAAGGTTTAATGCTTTAATTTAATTTAATTTTGTTTTAAACGAAAGACCAATTTTCCATATTTAAAAATGTTGCTTACATAGATTATTTTAAGAAATTCAATTTAAAAGTTTGTTATTTATTTTTAATTAGAGTTTTCGCTACTTATCTCTTTAGTTTTTAATTTTATAATATAATGGTGTTAATAAATTGGTGTACTGTACTTCTACACTAATACATTTCTTTAGTAGATTTTTGATGCAAATCAATAATTGCTATGGCTGATTATTGGATTCTCTAAGACGACCATATCCACAGGAGAGAGAATTTGTTCGGAAAAGTAGATAGTTATCTAAGATAAAGTTCACTGTATGCATTTTTTTAATGATCTAAATCTTATTTTTGCTAAATGTTTTATGTTGTATAATTATCATAGGACAATGAAACTGAAAAGCAACATAAAAATTATTAACTGCAAATAATGATAATTGTAATCAATCCTTATTTCAAATTAGAAAAATTATTTACGTTTTTTGGTAAGTGGGGTAATATTAGTAATTTTTTTCAGGTTTCATCAGTCAAATTTTACGATTCTTTGTGAGAATTTTCTTTTTCCTATCAGATCGGAACTAATACCCGGGTCCCTTGTATATATGTATTATAACAGTGACCGAACAAATTTCTATTTCCTTCTTTGGAAATAATAGTTTAAATTTTAGAGTAATTTATAGATGCAAAATTTAGCATTTTAGGCTGTAATCAATTAATAATTCTTTGTAGGGAAATCCTAAGTAATTCGTAGCTTCTCTGTTAAAGTTGAATCGAAAGCATAAATTTGCTGTACAGTCTTTCAAATAGCAATTCACAAAAATTTCAAGTAGAAATAATGGTTCAATTTTTTAAAATTGATTGAAATCTAGTAATCGATATTATTTCCTATTTCTTAAAAACACTGAAAAGTACATTTAGAATTCAAACGTATTTTTCTATGGACTGAGCTCTATTATTAACAAAAAACTGGCCTTTCATTTAGAGCATATATTCTTAAAAATACTTTTTGATTGGATTATTTTTTAGAATCATTTCAAGCGAAAAAATTTTCTCAAATTCTACATATGTATTTATTTTTATTTTCAAGCTTGGATTGGCTTGCCTTCGTAACGTGTCTGTGAGATGCTTAATATTTTCAAGTAATATGGTATTTAAAAGTTTGATTTAATTGTTACGGTGTACCAAAATTAAACTGATTGTAATTTAAAGCGATGGCTAAGATTTGAAATAAGTTTAAATATTTTGAATCATCATGAATTTATAAACAAATTTTGATCTACAATAAAAAATCTGATTTGGACGCATGACTTCCTTTTATAACCTATTAAATTATACACATTTTATTGCTGCGCTTCATTTAAACTCATTTCTCCGAATTATATTACAGATATATTTCTCATTCAATTAATTCAGTTCTTACTTTGTGCTAAAGCAAAAATACATAAAAAGTCAAAACATCTTCTTAAAAATTGTGAAGTACAAAAATTATAAAACACCAAATACAGTTAAAACAGTTAGAAAACGGTTTTTACAATTAACATTAGAGTTCCCTACGCAAAAACAAGCAAGACGAAAGATTGCCAGAAGGCAAAACGGAAGATTTTTCGGTGCACAGAACTGAAAGTTTACTTTTGGTCCCACTCGGCAAAAAGACATTGAAGGTGCAGAAACTGAGTTATTCATTATTCTACTGAGTTATATAAATAAATGACGGTTCGTTAGGCTTAACTCGCCACTTAATCTTTAAATTGTTGATAATACTACAACTATTGCATGCAGATTAACTAAAGGCATACAAAAACTAAACCGTAATATAAACACCACATAATTCAATCGCTTAAATAAAAAATGCACAATTAGACAACATTTAAGAATGAAAAAATTAAGCTCACCGAGCCAGGAACAGAGTAGGTGTATATATATATATATATATATATATATATGTTAGAAAAATCAGAAGTAATGACCAGCAGGAATTTTGATGGCGTAGAAGTGTTCATTCATAGTGAATAGGAAATTTGAGGCGAATGCAGATTAAATCTTGATTTTTTATTTCAGCAATCATGTTGCAGCCACAAACAAGTTGTCACATTATTTATGCCTATTCCAAAAAGTTTACATTTTTCATAAATCTCCAGTAAGAAAGAAGGAGCTGACAAACTGCAGTCCAGCTAGGCCAAAGCGTAGAAAGCAAATGCGTTATAATCAAGGTGAAACTTTAATTCAGACTGAGTTAGTTTTGGTTCTCAATGCATTTTGATTGGATAGCTAATATTGCTGTCAAATTACTATTCGCTGTTTGAGTTTTAGTTCTATTTACATTATGAGAATTATGTAAGGGTCATATGATACGGAATATGTAAGATATAATAAAATACTATGGCTGTATTAAGAAATAATTGGCAACCTCAAAATTAACTATTCTAGATTTGGTGTTCTTCCCCCTAAACTCATGCTCTCCCAAACTCGAGATCATGCCAAATTACATAACACTGCTTGAAAAAGGAAACTAAAACTAATATTGACTAATCATAGCTTAGAATATTTTCTGCACCTACGTAGTATAAATACGGTTTTGCGAGGATTTCCTGACTTGTCTGCCAAAAAGATGATTTGAGATGTGTAAAAATAAAAATTGTGATTCGCCGAAATTATTTTTTTTAACGTCTTCTTCATGCCTTCCCCTACGCCTTAAAATATCATATATATATAATATAAAATATCTATCTTTCAGAATCTTTCAATTGATATATTAATAGTAACCCTTAACTCGTGTCTTTATTCTAGAAATAACAGAGCAATAATTTTTCTGATTAAACTTCCAGCATTTCTGATGCGCACTTATCGATCACTTGAGCCCAATCTGGGCATTAATCTGTCACGTGATCTGAAATGGAATTCAGTATAAAAGATTAATTGCGTCCCTCTCTTTTCTCTTGCTTCGTTTCTCTGCTATGTATTGCCGCTAGCCACGTAGAGTTTACTTTTCTAAATTTCGTCCATTCTTTAAGAAATGTGAGCTTTAAAAAATTATGGGGTGCATAGCGCAGCCATATTGACGATGTGCATTATCAAGGAATAAAATTGTGTGTGGAATTTATCGTTACGTGAGTTCTTCGAATGTCATCTTCCTAACTATGTAGTTACTCTCTAATGCCAACTCCCCACCAAGTCGTCTTAGTACAAAAATGGAGCAGTGATATTAGTGATATTATATATGGAGCAGTGATATTATATATATATATATATAATATCACTCTCCATTTATATATATATTCAGGCTTCAGGAATAATTGTATACATATATATGTGTGTGTGTGTACGATGCAGCCGATTGCAACGAAAAAAGAGAAATATACAACTACATGGTATAGCTGTCTTATATACAAAATTGCAACGTTCTACGTCTACTCGTTCTTGAGTTATGCGAGATATGTACGTACGTACGTACAGATGTCAATAAAATAAATCTCTTCTGAATTCATTTTAAATCCAATTTACAATCTTTTTTTTGGCAAAAACAGTCCTTTATTCTGTCTGTAGGTATAGATGTCACGCAAAAACACCGTTCAAATGGTTTCGAGAGGGATGAAATGTATATTTTTGTTGAAATACTCGTATGATACCCGAAAATTTTGGGATTATAATATTTTCTTTACTAAGTACAAGGATCAGGCAAAGAAAGCTCTTTTTAAAAATTAAAAATAGCCTTAATTGCAGATCTTAGCAAGCCTTAATTGCAGATCATGTTTTCCTTGATCAGAATGATGAAGAAGAATAACATGCCTGTAAGGTATATTAATTTTACTTATAGTACAGAAGAATTATTTTCTTGTAAACGTAGAGGTGTCTTTTATAGATTTCAAAGACTAATTAGAACATTGTTTCTGAGTGAGCTCTTCAGTAGAAGCTTCAGACATTGACTAAGGCAATTTAATGTGGTAGGTTTTCGAAATACAAGAAAATTACACTTAGAGATAATTTTCAATCATCTGAAAGGACTTACCTTGCACGAATTCGAATGGTAGCACCCACCATGGATTGCGCAGCCAAGAGATGTAGAGGAAACGGCAAATGTTCCCGATAAGACCAATGCATAATACCTGTTTAGTAAGATACATTAAGGAATTCTATTACGTTCATCCACTGAAGATGTGTTTTGTTTTAATTTTGTAAAATCTGTTATAATGAGGAGGGAAAATCGTAGAGCAATTGGAATACAAAAATATTCGAACCAGCATTTTACATTCACGAATCTTCTCAAATGCATCGAGTAGGTAAGGAAGAAAAGCACATTACCATGCTTATTTTTTTCATAAATTCTAAAAATTCTGCATACTAAATTTAAAGGATTATTTACAATCTCTGCAAATACGCTATATAACCAAACGTCACGTGGCACTTTGGATTTTAGACATCGTTTCTAATTTCTATAGAAAGAGTTAGCTAACTGTTCTGTAAATGCGGCCAAGTGTTATGAGGAATAATTGTAATTGTTTGTTTCGATTCCAAAGCAAAAAAGGCGAGTAATTTTGGGTGGATACGTTGCAGGCTCTGGCGACTAAATAGTTAGATGCATCGAAATAAAAGCTCTTCTGCCCTGTAGTAACAAAGAAACGTTTCCTGTCTCTTAATGAGCCAAATCGTCTCATTGACCGCAGAGGGCTTGAGGTGAACCTTGAATTGAAAGAAAAATCTTCCTTTGTGCCTGATTGTCGAAAACCTTAGAAGGTAAAATTAAAGAAAGTTGAAATATATAGTAAACAAAATTCGTTGCAGGAGGTTAGCGTAGGCGGTAGTTTGAAAAAAGATTTGACTTTGAGCACGGTGTGATTTCACTGTATAAATGATTTGATAAAGAAATAAATTTCTGATACTGTCTACTAGGCCTATTATATTTTCAGAGAGACCGTTTTTCGGTTGTACTGGATTTCCCAAGGGGCAGAAAGTTTGACAAAATACGTTAATCTCTTTCTCTAGTAGCGAAATGAATGAAGGAAAGTACGGTGCATAATTTTAATTACTGCGTGCTTGTGATTAGTTTGAAAATAGGTGGAGACTGATTGTTGACCAATTTAAGAAGATGTAAGGACATGATGGTGTGAGAAGCCAGTTTTAATTTACAACTAGATCAGGAGATAAAGAGAAAAAAAATATTGTCGGAATGGGGGAGATTGATGGTAAGGAGCCATGAGGATCAAACGAGAAGAAATAGGAAAACGCTAAGTGAAATGTACTGAGGAGTTTAGCGAAAATGAAGAAGGGGAAAAAATAAGAATGTGGATGGGGCAACGCGGAATGAAGAAAAATTTACTGAAAATGTCTCGGTCACGTGTATGGAGATCAGCTGAATGAATTGTTACTTAGCGTACGTTGAAATACTGCTCGAAACTTATTCAGTATGTGACGATGGGAAAAGGACCTGAAATGTCAGTTCCAGACTTAGCGCGTAGCGTAGTTTCTTCAGGTTACCGAAGTAGGCAAATGTAAATATTCTTCACCTCCTCTTAGCGTGTAGTAATGAATGCTAAATCCTCAGAGAAGAATAATATGTAGACATAATTGTGTAAATAAATTAAACATAGCGATGTTTATAAATGTGCTCTATTCTAAGAATTACTTGTAAATTTATATGAGAAAGATCTTAATTATTGTCAAATAGTATTCTTATTAATTTTATATCGTAACAGAGATTGATATATCTGCATTTGTACAAAATTAAGTAAACATTAAATGCGAATATTTATATGGGTGTGCTTGTGTTTATCTGTCTGCCTCAATACAGCTTTAAGAATTCTAATTGTTTTACTACTTGAACCTGGAACCATTGCGACTCTACTGGTTATATTAAAAGGATTTAAATTAAATATATATTTCAAAACTGTGTTTTACCATTTTGTACATGATATATGCATGAAACTCCATACACAACACATATATCACAAATTAAGATGATTTGTGAGTAAAATTTAGTCGTGAGTGCATTAAGGGACTAATAATAAAGTGATCAAGCAAAAAATATATTTAATCATTATATACCACAAAACCAGAGAATGATCTGTAACTTTCATAGATAGTTTACAAGCTATGCGAAAAGTTCATATGCATTTTCAGAAAAAATAACATCACATTAACGAAGAATGTATTGCCGTTACTTTTTAGAATCAGCTTGATGATAAAGAATTTTCCAGAAACTATATCATTTTTTTAAATTAATGTTTCTTTATTTTGCTATCAAACAGGTATTTTATGCCAGAGCATTAATACAGGTATTTTATGCCAGAGCATTAATTTCTCATCGCTTATAGGTCCACCAAGAGCAAACGGTAAAATCGCTGAATACTGATAGTTCGATCTGGGTTCAAATCCCGGAAAACGGCTTGGCTGCATGAGAATTTCCATGACTTTTCAAATGCGTAATAGAAATACGATCTAGTTTCATTTAAAGATTCTCCATAATGGCATTCCTTCCTTCAGGCAAATAGCCCTCTTGCACTCTGCTATAATCCAAATCCCATCACTTACTAACCACGGACACCTGCCTTTTCTTATTTACACAATACTGGATTAACTCATTTATAGCAAAGAGGTATCTGATAAAATTAAGACAATTAGAATTTATGGAAAATGCCATATCATCCAGGTAGTTCCAGAAAGTAACTAAAGAAAGTTACAGTAAATATTTTGTAATATAGCTCACTACATTATATCGTCGATGCTATTCAAAATTTACACAATATTTCATTGGATATTTTACATAAGTTGTCCTTACTAGTTACTTATCAAATTATGAAAGAAGAAAGTTAATTTATTTTGCGGGTGTGCAATTAATAATTACATTCTTTAAATGCTCATACCTCAAAGAATATTCACTGCTTTCGTTTCAAATAGCGCCCATCAGCAGCTGAGCGCTAAAGTCACTGAACACTGGTAGTTCGGTCCGAAGTTTGAATTTCGCGAACGGGCCGGCAACATGGGCATTTTCATGGTTTCTCCCAAGTGTAACGTGTATACGAGCCAATTTCCCTTAGAAAATCCTCCAAAGGCATCCCTTTCCTTAGGCAAATAGCTGTCGAGGCTTTGCCATAATCACATAAAACAAATCAAACCATTTCAAATAGCAGTTTAATATTTCCCTCGAGCGTTGTTACGTTTTCTGTAAATTTCGCTAGATTTTGTAGTAAATTCTGCATGTTATAACCAAAGAAACGTGCGAAAAATAGAAAATGTAAAAGAACTCTTTATATCTTCGTTAATATAGTATTATTTTTACGAAAATACATATGAATATTGTGTACAGCACTTAAAATATTTTGTGAAAGTAACTCATCATTTCTTAGTTTTTTTATTAAGGGTGATTAAATATTGGTTTCTTAATTATTTTGTCATTGGTTCCCTGAATACACTCGCGGCTGAATTTTCGTTGGAAACTGTGTGTTCAAGCATTTTATTTACATGGCCGCAGTTACAAAAGAATTCATCAAACATTTCTCTAGAAATTCGGAGCTATACTTAAAATTCAAAGCGTTCAGTGACTTTCGACACATAGTGTAAATCAAATTTCCTTCAATACTGCTAGCTAATTTAATTACGAAACTGAATAAAGATTCTATAGATGGTGTTATTAAATGTGTATATCATTAATTAAAAAGTATTTCAGACTTCCGAAGTTGCTTAAAAGTTATTTGCATGACAAGCTTTACAATAAAAATGAAAGTGCGTGAGAATGAAATGAAATGCACTTACATTGAAATTAGTATAGCGCTAGGAAAATTTGGGGAGCCAAAGCGTCTTTGTTTTTAATTAAACTGGTGATGAAATCGATGAACCTTTTTGAGTCTGTCAGTTATATTAATTCATGTTTTTTATTTCTTAGCTAGCTTTGATCCGCACGCCAGTATTTAAACAAAGCTACGAACTTCTATATTTTATTGATCATATTTTAAGATGGTGCATGTGAAAAAAAGGCTTTGATCAAACAACATGTGTAACACCCATTGTACGTTTCTTTGCATAGTTCTTCCTTAATGATGAAAATGGTATCATAAAACTTTGCAAGATAGATAAAACGAAGGAATCTTTAACTGGAACTGATAGAACTGAAGTCTGCCTCTGTGTAGCTAGTTAACTGGGGTATAATGTTAATGTTCACACTGATCTTGTTTATTTACCAATTTAAATTCAATTTTTATACTTTAAAATTCTGTATAATTAGGGAAAAATCACTGCATGCATAATTTATTTTAATCCAAAGATAGAATTCACTATACATACTTAGGAACTGCGTTTTATGAAAAAGCATCTGCTGAGACTAATCCTTACTTTTGTATGACCGATCTGCCTGATGAACTTAAAACTGAAGAAGTAGGCAAAGATTTCTGAGATGTGGTTGATGACGGACGCCACTCCAAAGAGAGTTGGGGTGCCACCCAAATCTTGCAGATGCCAGAAGAGAAAGGTGAACACCAGCCCTATGCCGAAACCCATGAACCAAGTTACGTAGAGGAAGGCGCCATAGCGAAGATTGGCGAACGTCCGAAGGACAGATAGCCATTCCGGAAGTTGCCGAGTAGTTTGGGCGAACACTGTGCTCTGTGGAAAAGAGATAAGAAGTGAGGAAGACTGCAGAAGGGATGCATGTACATCTTTAACGCTTGATTAAGACATTTTTTTATTATTTAAGCTTATAACTTTTCAAATAGCAGTTTAATATTGTATCCTTAACAAAGAAATTACTGGTTTCCATACTGCTATGCTGAACTAAGCAGCTATCCATCATTTCACTGTTTGAAGTTAATGGCCTTCTAAACTAAAGCGTAACAATTAATTTTGTTTGGCGTACTTATTTGCACAAGTAATAACATAAATATCAATAAAAACACCACGCATCTGAAATGCTAATTAATTAACTATGCATTAAGTTTTAACGAAAAACTTCGATTTTATTGTCTTTTATCTTTAATAAAAAATCTGATATGGACACTACATAACTTCCTTGCACGACCTATTAAATTATATACATTTTTCCCTGCATTTAATTTAAGCTTATTTCCTCGAATTTCGTTAGAGATATATTTCTCATTCAATTAATTCAGTTTTCACTATGCCGCAAGGCAAAATACATAAAAACTCAAAATATCTTAACTAAAAATTGTTAAGTACAAAAAAAAAAAAAAAAAAAAAAAAAAAAAAAAAAGCAGTTAAAAACAGATACAAATTTTTACAGTTAAAAAATTAGAGTTCTACGCAGAAACACGTAATTCGGCCAGCGAGCAAGAAGACATATTTTTCTGTGTACAAAACTGAGAATTTACTTTTGGTCCCAATCGTCAAAAAGACGTTGAAGTTGATGCGCAAACTTAATTAATTCGCTATTTACTAAGAGTGTCAAATGGCTGCTTCGTAGGCTTAGTTCCCCTTAAACAACTTTTAAATTGTTTATAATTCTATAACTATTCCATGCAGATTAACTAAAGGCATAAAAATCTTAACCGGAGCAACATGTAAGAATAAAAACTGAGATCACCAAGCCGGATAACAGATTGGGTATATAATATATATATATATATACATTTATATATGTTTGGTGCAGCCGATATTGCAACGAAAAAGGAGGCGCACAACAACATGTTATAGCAGTCCCATATAAAAAATTTGAACGTTCTGAGGCCACTCCTTTTTGAGCTATGTATGTGTCACGAACAAAATCTCTTCTGAATCCATTTTAAATCCATTTTACGATCCGTTTTGGAAAAAAAAAAGAGTCCTTTATTTTGTCCATACGTACAAATGTCACGCAAAAATCTCATTTCAATGGATTCGAGACCGGTTTTGCGATTACAACGCTTCCTTTACTTCTAACAAGGAAGTAAAAAATAAAGATTCATTCTGAAACATTTCTTGACATAGTTATTTATAACATGCTGCGCTTTCTTGAACTTTTTTTGAAAGGATATGTCCGATTTTCAAGCAGAAATAAAGTGTACCATCACGAAAGAAACTGTTTAATGTTATTTGCTACTTACAATTAAAACTTAATAGTAATTATTTTTTTTTTGTAAAATTTTTATACTCTCTTAATTTAAGTCACATAGATTACATATTAAGAAACTCTGATTTATAACTAACCAAAGAATTTCTCTAAAAACGTTTCTCGAAATATTTCATCATAGTATCTGATAGAAATGAAAACATTTTACACGCAATCAATACACGCAAATTACATAATTCATAAATATGCAGAAAGAAATTGTTATATGATTTTGCATGAGCCCTTTTATATTCAAATTTAGTTTAAAAAAATTCTAACGATATCATAAGTACCTACTTTAAAGAGTGATTGAAATATTACTTCATAGTTCTGTCCTAAATGAAATTCTGAATTACATTCCGAATGATGCTGTAATAGGTTTGAAGCTTATATTATTCATAGAGTAACATGCTGTTATATTAAAATTGCACGCCATTCTTGCACGGTGAATTTAAATATGAATCAAAAGCCATCAGGCGAATGAATGGTTATCGTGATGTAATCGCGGGCCTGCTGAATCCCGTTTGATGAATCTAATAGAAAGTGATCAAACAGTTGACAGTTGATGTCAGTGCGCTTTACATCATCATTGGATTTACATTATAATTATATCATCATTATAGGATTTACATTACATCACTGGCGTATGGACTGTCTGAGACATTTAAAGATTTCTTAGTCGCGACACCAGGAACATCCTTCAAATGACGAGTCGTCTCGAAAGCAGTCGGAGGCTAAAATGGATGTGGGCATTGAATTACTCCACGGATTTCAATGGTTACTTGTACACAGGTGAATTTATACAGTTCTATAGGATGACATCGTTGAGTTTCAAGCCAAACGATCTATAGACACAGAGAATATGACAAGGGATAAGTTAATACGTGTTCTTTTAATTGAATGTGATGTTACAAGATTTGATATCTCGTATCTTATGAATGAAGCGATGTGCCAAAACCATTCCAATGGTCTTTTATTTCTTTTAAACTACCGATTATGCTACAAAATTCGTTGTGGCATTTTACCCTGTGGCACTCCATATAAGCTAGCAAAGATATTCTAAAAATAAATAAATAAATAAAAAGACTAAATAAAGTAATACATACAACAATAGATACATAAATAAAATGTTTTCTAGTTAAAACTAGTAATAAAAATACCTTTATCCATGATTTCGCAGCCATTGTTTAGATTAATTATGAATAATCTTGTAAATAGCTGATAAAGTTAGTGGCTCATGAAAAGAGAATTTCCTTTTAATTTCAAAACTAGACAGTTTCTTTCGTATAGCTTTATTTCAAATATTCCCTCCTTTATTTTAATCTCGTTCTTCGTTGAGAAAATATATTATTAGCAAAAACATATCTTGAAACGTTTGAAAATTTCTAATTTGGGAAATTTATGCAGTTCGTAACAAATATATTTTTTTCTATGTCATTTTACAGCCAATTTGTATACAACATTAACTTCTTAAGTAGAATAAATACAGATAACTGAAATTTATTTTTGATAATTTTTTGGCGTCTCATTTCAAATGTGAATTTATTTCAAAGTTACGTTTCCCTGCACATATAGTTAGTTACACATGTAGGAGATGTTAAATTTAAATAATTTATTTTTAAATGGTTATTTTAAATAACTATTAAATAACTAAGCCTGTGGGTGTTAGCCTATGATGAAAAGTTATGAAGTGAAATATGAAAAAAAAAAAAAAAAAAAAAAAAAATTATTTTGCAAAGGCAGGAAATAAAATTCGATCTTTATATAGAATGTAGAAATGTGGCATTATTAGACATAAATATTATTGTATTGCTGAACAGAAATGATCTGCAAAATTAGATATAAAATCATTAGATATTCATACAGATATACATTTTTATCTTCACGTAAAAAATACATCTTGTTATTGATATTTTCACATAATTTCATTATATCTTAAAATTTCGCAATGAAGCTTTTTGTTTGTAGATTCTTTAACAAAGCTTTTCCTTTCTTTTTTCATTAAATAAGATTCTAAATATACCAGAAGAACACGAATAGTAAATGATAAGTAACTTCTTCAAAGGACAGAAGGCAGAATTTTTATATTACTCGACATTAAGAAGAGAGTATTCTTTGCATCGGATTTTCGAATTAGACATTAAGAAGATGGTATTCTTTATACTGATTATGTACAAACAAGATATTCTCTAGATTGAGCAGTCTTTCTTCAAACTAATCAATCTTGGAAGACATATCTGCAACCTTAATTGAAATTTAATCGTTAGTAAGATGTTTAAATGAAATTCTTGCAATGATTGAATTTATTTATGTAAATCATTATTTAATATTATTCTAATACTTCTTTGAAATTTACAAAGAGGTAACACTTACTTTTGGCGCTGTCTCTTCTTGTTTAGGTGGTGGTGGTGGTGGAATAGGTGAATCATCCATGACTGTTCCTTCAGTAAGAAAACTGGGAAGACTACTTCCTTTCACCTGTTGCTGATTTCCATTTTGAACGACTGTTTTCATAGGTATTTGATCATCGAAAGATTCATAATCGAATTTAAACTGAGTAGCAGCAATAAGAGCACACCCCATCAGCACAGAGAAAGTTGCAAAACATATAGTGTAATTACGTTCTCTCTCATGCGGGCCACAAGGATGATCTGGGAAGGACGTTGATTGATCCAAAGCAATGCCGACGAAAAACATGGCCAGACCCCAACCTAGAGAACCAAACATCCGCTGCTTACCGTAGTTATCAGCATTATCTGCCAAATAAGACAGCGTCGCTGAATCGGCTAAAGTGATAGCTGGAGCGCTAAAGAACTCCCCAAGCACTATGAGGAGCACCAACAGGAAGAAAACTTCTTGAACATCTTCCCATTTATACACTATAGAACTGAAACGTGGAGATACATAAGAAGTATGCTGATCTTGGTTGTAGTTGAGGGTATATTCGACGGAATTTGGAGACTTGCCTACAACTTGATAAGAACTATCTTTCTCTTTAAATCTGCCTTTTTCTTCCTTGTCATAGTCCTCTGGTTCTTTTGTTTCCTTTTCACGCCTTTTGCGTATTCCCATCAACCAGTTCCCAATTTCTTCCTCGTCCAGATTGTCTATGATGTCATCGTAAGTGTTGTTAGATTCTTGGTAGTAATATTTGGGGTTATTTTCATATCTAGAAGCTCCAACTGCCATGGCTTGGTTTACAAGATCCTCATCTTCGTACATTGGATTATAATCTTCCAAGTCCAAAACTACAGATCTTTTCTCTCGTCCGGTTGTTTTTTCAGGGATAAAAAGGATATGATGAGTGGCATTGAAAATGACACAAGATGAAGCTGGTGGCTGAATAAATGCCAATGCAAGAGTAAACACAATCCAGGACAGCAAAGAAAATAACAGCATTATTTTACCTTTAGGAAAGAAAGAAAATTTTAATAAACATTTTTTAAGATTGATACTAGGAAGAAATTTAATAGTTTAAATCAAAAGCAAACAAATAACAGAGAAGAGAAGTTAATGTAATCTTAGAATCTGTAGTCATGGTAGCAATTTATTCTACAATATGTCAAAAGAACCTAAAGTATTTAGTTTACGCACTTGAAGAAAAGGAAAATTTTTATAACCAGTTCAAACTACGTTTTTTGAAATGGATTTATGCCCGTTATTCTGAAGAATAAAGTTATAATTATTATTTGAACGCATACATGTTCTTAAGGATAAATATTTACTGACTAATTGAATGCATAAATGTTATTTACAATAATATATTTTAGGTTTTTCTAATGTTCTTCGACATATTAAATTTTATTACAAGAAGCCAAAATATCTTTACTGTCAAAAGCATAAAGAAAAACTGGCCTCTAGATTCCTTAGATAAATACAAGCAATTTGAGCTTTTGAAACCTATCGCAAAACCATATATATTATAACCAAAAATACATGTTTATTACATCATTCAATTTACAATTTCACTATTATATCTTCAGAATTGGTTTTCCTTTACTGTTCTCATTAACAGTTTCTGATTTAGGTTCTAAATACTTTTGTATTTTATGATTATGTTTAATCATTAAGGGCTTCAATCAAAATTTATTTGAATTACAAGAAGAAAATAAATTGATCTCAATTCATAGATATTGAAATAATTATGTAACACCTTTATCCTTCTTTGATAGTTTACCAAGTAAGTTTTTGCGTTTCAAGTTGCAGTGCTATCATTAGAATGTACTATTATAATCAGCTCGACGTTCATGAACAACTGCATCATCATAAGGAGAAAAGGATTTGATTTATAATTGAAAGTCTTATTATCTTTAATAATGGGATAGAAAAGCTTCGTAAGTTGACACTGCATAGTGTTGTCTCCTAGTACCATAATGAAATCGCAAGTGAGGTACTTCATGCTTCTAATGGCAAAGCAATAAATGGCAAATGATATTTTACACATCAATTAAGATTATAATCTGCTTCCAGTCTGCCTTAACATTACTTAAAGAAGATTAAAAGATTTTAATTTATCATTAAAAGAGTTTTCTTAAAAAGTTATCTTTAAAAGAGGGAAATTTTAGAGGAAGAATTTTAGGGAAAGGAGATTTAGTAATGATAATTAGAAGTGGGAAGAAGAAGTATGATATTGTTTAAGATATATATGTTTTACGTTTCCATTTATAAATAAATGGGAATGTAAATCATATACGTATATCTTAAAGTATTATTTTATGCAGTACTATGCATAAAATAATATCAGAAACAGAAAGAAGATGCAGATACCACTCGCTCTTAAAAGTTAAAGGAGGGGAGCAAAGATACGTGGATATAAATCATTATTAAATTACTGTCAAAAACAGAGATGTCGAAAGAAACGTTAATGATAAATAGTTGAATCAAATAATAATAATAATAACACAGAATTTCACGATGAAGCAATAACATTAGAAAAATCTTTCATTAAATACAATAATGTTGTAAATATTCATAAAAATTATCATTTGGAATATATTATAAGTGCATTTTAAATTACCTTATTAATAAATAAAAGAATAAGCAAAAATATTATGACGTGTCGAATGGTAGTACATAGGAAGTTGGCATTTCCAATGCAGCTAGGAAGATAAATTAGAGAATTTATGCCTGTAGTGGCCAATCTTACCAGTCTCGTAGGTAACAAAAGATCTGGTAGAGTAAATAACGGGTTCAGAAATTGGAAAAGACCCACTAAAGATGTTCTATTAACAAAACTAAGTAATAAACATGGAAATTGGCTCTTTATGGTTCTGCCTTAAGCTGGATGAAATCAATAATTTCTGAAATGTTAACAGTGCAAGTAATCAGATGACAAATCAAATGGTTGAGCTGCCAAAAATAATTAGTCTACATTCGCATGTTTAGTTTTATTTTGTTGTTACTATGTTTGAAAAAGCAAGCCTTAAGTTATGGAGGAAATGATTTTATAAAGTTACATATTATTTTAATTCAGTGAGCTAATTACGTAGAGCATTTAGCAATGCTTAGAATTTCGCCAACCGTTTCGAAAGAACAGCTATTTTCAATGTAAAGAAAAATTAAGAATGCTCCTAAAATAAATAACGCTTTTAAAGCATGACTCAAATAAGAGAAAATATTTTCTGTGTCTTTTTGCTTTTTTTTATTCCTTTAGAAATGACTTATTTGTGTTTCTTATATCAGATTTTAACCATAGAATGATTTCCAATCATTAATATTTGCTAGCAATAAAACATGCATCTTTTTAAAGTATGTTGAAACATTTCGTAGAATTTCTAAATAAATTCATATTCTTACCTTTCCGAAATCTGTCAGCCATACTGCCCCAAAATGGAGCAGCCAAGAACTCCACGAAAGGCCGTACTCCAATCAGAAACCCACTCTGAGTTGGATTCATTCCCATCTGTTTAAAGTATACAGCAAGAAGAGGAAATAGAGAACCAAATGCAGAAAAGAAAAAGAAGTAGAATGTTTTCGCAATCAGAAGATCTTGGTTGAAGGACGAACACATACTATCGATGACATCTTTCTTAGAAATTGGGCCATTTCTTCTTGGTGGTTCTCCTTGTTCTGGAGGTGGTAAGAATCCATCACTGTCGACTCCCTTCTGCATGCCCCGGTTTTCTTCCAAACCTTTCATCTCCACCATTTTTGATTCGGTTGTATTTTCGTGTATCAACAAATGTGTTGATTTCTCATTCCCTTATAAATTGATTAATATTTTTGTACTAGCTGATACTGCCATTCACTGCACGTGTAATAAGCCAGAATACGCATCTAGCTGGGATGGCCATGAAAATATCAGCTGCAGAAAACTCCTCTAGGTGGGCATAAGCTTGCATGCAATTTTCAGGTATTGTGGGGCTAGCAGTCTTGAATCTGAAAGTAAGTGAAAGAATGAATGGATAAAATAGTAAATGTAGCAAAATTTGATGAAATTCAGGGAAAAATGCAGAAATGATTTAATCGTAAAATTCAACTGTGACCTATGTATTTATTTCAGTTAATAACTTTTTGTAAATAAAAATGCAAAGGCAAGACGTCACACAAAATTACGAACATAATAATTTACTTTTATTTTACTTCAAGACTGCTTAGTTGAAAACTCAAGATACTTTGAGTTGAAAATTTTCTCATCGAAACAGAATAGACAAATTTTGTACTACATATAGTTTTTATATAAAACTTATAAAGTATTTTAATATAACTATTAGTGTTAGAAAAACGCATTACATGCATCAAGGATTTTTCAAAATATCGCAGTGAGTGCAAAAGTTCTACCCGTTTCTGGATATGCAAATTTGCAATGGAATTGACGTCACACTTGACATTGTAATGATGAAAATCGTCGGCCAATCAAACGTATGGATTCTTCACACATAAATGCATCCGATCTCGCATTATTAATCCTCTCAAAAAATCTCAGAAGGTATAACATGGAAAGCGAGAAAGAGTATATAAGACACTGTTTGTTATACGAGTTCGATAAAAAGAGTAGGCAGCCGCAGCATGTCGCAATGTTTGTCAAGTTTATGGGGAGGATGCAGTCGATGGTTTCGTAAGTTTAGGGAAGGAGACAGAAGCTGCCAAGATCAGGCTAGGAGTGGACGGCCATCACACGTTGGAGAAGGCGATATTGACCAAGCTATAAGGAACAACGCGAACCCAAGCGTACAAGAATTAACGGAGACCTTCAATGTACACCAGACAACGGTCGAGAGACGGCTGGTTAAGTTGGGTTTTACGAGAAAGTTGGATAGTTCGGTTCCACATAACTTGACAGCTAATCAACGGGATGACCGAATCGCCACATGTGCTTCCTTGCTTTCCCAATACAAAAACGACCCATTTTTTGACACGAATTGTGACAGGAGATGAGAAGTGGGTTATGTATCGTAACATAAATCGTTGTAGGAGTGTGTGTCTTTCTTCTGATCCGCCTGCATCGACTTCGAAAGCCGAACTTCATCCCAAGAAGGCGTTATTGAGTGTGTAATGGGATGTGCAGGGAATAATTCACTGGGAGGTCCTGCCACTCAACCAAACCATCACTGCTGCCCTCTACTGTTTACAGTAAGACAGGCTGCATTCAAATTGGGTAGCAAAGAGGCCAGGTCTCATCAATCGTCGCGGTGTTATCCTTCATCATTATAATGCCAGACCACACGCTGCTATCATCACTCGTCAAAAGTTACTCGGCTTCGGTTGGAAGTGTTTACCCCATCCTCCCTATCTGCCAATGTATTCTCCTGACTTGGCACCAACTGAGTATCACCTATTTCGTGCGTTGAACAACTCCTTCAGTCAGAAAATCTTTGGTGATCTTGATGCTGTGAAAACTGCCACCCAAAACTTTTTTGAATGGAAATCGACGGAATTTTACCTCCGTGGGATTCATCTTCTACCAGAAAGATGGCGAGAGGTCATAGATAACAATGGGTACTATGCATAATAATAGGTACTGTTCATTTTGCGTTTATTTGCTCTTCTTTATGGGTAATGAAAACGGGTAGAACTTTTGCACTTACCCAATATATGAGCAGTAAAAACTACACAGATCCAAAATTTAGAATATAATAAGTCCTTTCAAATTTTTTAAAAAATGGAGGGTAGAATGCAATGAAATTAGGTATGAATGTATATTAATATAAGAGAACAATTTATACCATCCAGCATTGAAAGCATACACTCGTAAAAGTGAATAATGGTCTTGACAGCAAAAATGTCCAAAACTGATGTTGCAAGATGGTGCTTAACATGAAATTTATAGGGAGTACTGTTACTTCTAATAAATAGATCATATAACGAGTCGTCGTTTGGTTAGACGTTTGGCAAGTGCCTGTGGCAGCCGCACCTACATCTACCAAAAAATATAGTTCTTTGCTCTTGGATAGTTTTCGAAGTCAGTTTGCGAAATGCAGTTGTTCTTCCAAGTAAATATCAAACATACTCGATTAGATTCAGATCTGAGAATCTGCCTGGTGAATCTATCCCGCGAATATCCTCAGTTTGAAGATATTGCCCATTTTTTGAGTCTGATATAGACAAGCATTGTCAGCCATAAAAAGAAACGGAAATCCAACTGCCCCTCTGAAAAGTTGTACACAGGACTCTAAGCCTCCTGTCAGCAGGATGCCTCTGTAAACAACAGAAAGTCTGCCAATGTCTGTCATGCATCTATCCAAAACGATGTCTACCAAGACCATTATACATATTCTGCCAAAGTGATTTCTTTCCTTAATGTTAGATAGAGAAGTGATAAAGAGGCACGTGCTTTTTCTGGTTAGGACTGTTGAGAATAAATATTTAGTCAGCATCAGGACTTTCGCTGAAGAGAACATGTACCCACTAGAGTTGGGTCTAATGTTGGTGTTTCTGCATTATGTCAATTGAGTTCTATTGAGTAGGACTGTAAGTAGGGCATAAATAGAGGTTCTTATAGCAAAACTCCTTTTTTATGAAGCCTTCAGAAAACAGTACTGAGGTCCTATGAGTGGCAGAAAGCTCACGAGAGAGCTGCGTGGCTGTAACATTGTTTTAATGCTTGGCTGAAAGCGTCGAATAGCGATTTTCCTTGGGCGTTGCCTCTTATGATTTACGGAATCTTCTTAAGGCATTCTGCGTATGAATTCGTTCTCCTGAAACTTTTCACAAATTGTAGTGGTGTGGTGTATTTAATTATGGCAAAGCACACTAGGGCTATCTGCCTTTTCACAAATTGTAAACAAAACTAAACATTATATTCAGTTCTCTTGGAACTTGAAACAGAGATAGCCTTGCTTCCAATCTGCCAAAGGTTCTAGGCAACATTCTGTCGTTTGATGTTGATGATTACTTATTCTATCGCATTGCACATGAAATTTAACAAAATTTTACAATAAGCTTTATGACTGCCTTCACAGTGCAAATAAAACTAGATAGCACTTGCGCAAATACAATTAGGTGCTACTTGAATCAGTTTTGTTGTTATATTGTTGGTTGAACCCATACTTTTCAGTTTAAGAAATTTTAAGAGATTTTAAGAAATTCGGAAAAATTGTTTATTTTCTTAATTTTGAACACCAATATATATATGAAAACGCCGCATATGTAAGTATTTTCTTTGGGATTGCTCCCTTTTGCTTTTCTTATTGGTCATTTAAACGTAAGTCAGAATGGCAGTCGAAAACACTCACTGGGTTCATTCTGTCTAATGCACTAGTAGATGAATGAAATAGATAAACTGACAAGACTAGATATATATTGCTTGCTATTTACAGTATACACATAAGCTCCCAGACATTAAAAGATAAAAGAAATGGGAATTAGTTGTAACTAGATCTAGCAAAAAAGTATTACTTTTATGGGGAACAATTAAAGATTCCGTAAAGCTACTTCCATATATAAGCTGCATAGGGGAGAATATAAGAGAATATTTTTAGAAAGCCTATATAGGTTTCTTGCATCGTAAATTTCTCACCTATGGGCTTAAAAATTTGTGTTGTTTACCTTGTTATGAGCAACAGCCATATCGATCATAATAGAAGGTAAAATTGCGTGCGGGGATGTACTTAAGACAAATTGATTAATCATTTTTGATGAAATGCCGATCTTCTGCTTTAAAAGCATAGTAAATTTTAACTCATTAATTTCAAGCTTAAAACTTTATAGAGGTTTATGCTCACTTACCAGTTACTTCATTATTTTTGCCTGTACTGTCACTTCTCTTCGTCGTCTTTAAGTGCAAATTAATTAATACATATAAGTGCACAGTCTTTAGTTTAAGAGAGAGTTCTTGTCAATGACGGACATTGCTACTATTTTGTATCAGTTTCTGAATTATTTGAATCGGATTTAGCTTTGCTAGCCATAATTGACCGCGTAAGTTGAAGAACTGAGCAAAAATTTGTGGGCGCGCATTGTCTGGCAAATTTCGCATTTTAGTACATTAAGGTTAAAGTTTTGTTTCTGTTATTCCCGGAAGCGGCGAAGATTATTTCTGTTGTTACACAAATTGTGTACTGTTCGGCGGATGAACAGATAAAAATGTTTATTTCAATATTTATTAATGAGAAGCTAAGATTGCACAAATATAGAGACCAACAATTAAAATAGTTAGGTTCCGTGCAAGTTATTAAGAAATCTACACTCAGATTTCTCGACTATTTAATAATTAAAAAAATTAGATACCAATGAAACCTTTTGATTATAAAAATATTTCGTGTTTATGCTAAGAGAAAACAATACTTAGAGAAACTGAATGAAGTATTCTTGAGCCAAATCTAACCTGTTAAAGTGAGAGAGAAGGCTTCCACCATTTCCGACTACTTAATTACTTCATTGATAGCTCATGTCACATTTTAGTAGTAGAGTTATCAGTACAGGAAGGCCACATTAGTAGGACTGCAGAGAAAGATTCATGGAATTGCAAAAGCGGAATCATTACCTACTTGTTTTAACCACTGTCAGCTATTTACTCTTGATTACGTGTAATATGAATGTAACATGATATTGCTTAAAATGAACAGAATATTTTGGACGCATTGAAATGTTCAACAGATAACATAAAATGATTATAATTTAACCGCAAATGAACACTTTTTCTGTTCGAAAATTTAGCTTGCAAAAATATAAAATTATAACAAGCATAAAACAGTTAATGTTATTTATTGAGCCAAGAAAATTACGTATTAAGTTCGTGTTTCCCTAAGGTCATGTCTTTATTCATTTATTAATTAATTATCAATTATTTATAACGTAATTAAGTAATTATTTAAAGTTGTTATTAACAGTAAGTATATAAACAAATAAAAGATCAATAAAAAGGTATTTTTTACACAGTAATTTTTTATTTAAAACGGATATGATAAATAATAAACTAAACAGAGAAAAGAAATATG